TTCCTTAAACTACTAATTGTGCTTTATATTTTTCTATACTATTATCAGTGTATTGCTTTATTTTATAGACAAATCATGTTCTGATGATGTTAATATTATTGTATAGATTCATGATTTCCCATGTATTATGATTTTCTAATTGTTTTATTTTGTCTTTCATAGCTACAATCTATGAATCACAATCTGGACATTGGATTGCTTCATAAAATGAAGTCAGATCCAATTGTATTTCACTTATTTTAGCATTAAATTCTGTTAAATGAATAGTAATATTATCTTCATTCTTTTTACTAAGTGTATACATGTGTTTTGTTATGTGTTTATTCTCCATACATTGTTCAAGCTTAATAGCACATTCTGTCAGTTTCTGTTTCCATTCTGATTGATGTAATTTAGGTTCTACTTCTTTTTTAGTTAATTTAACTTTGTTGTCCATTAAGTCTGTTAGTTCTGCCACTTTTCCTTTTTTGTTAGGATCAGTGTTGTCTGTATCATTGTTGTCTGTTCTTGTTATTCTATTATCTGTTTTGTTATTTTTAATTATTAAACACTTGTTTGTATCATTGTTTGTATTGTCTATTTTCTCCCCTTCAATTTGAGGAGGTTTACCTTTGAGAAATTGAATATTTCATTTGATAGTAATTTTATTATTGTGCCAAGTTTTATGTCCTTTACTTTCATTGTCTAATCCTATCCAACAAGCAATAATACCTTACTGTTGTATTTTTGTAAGATTTTTGTTACAAATAATAATATATTAACTAAATTCATATATATTATTAATTGTTCTGTGTGTTCCATAACATTTATAGTGTAGAGTATTGTAATTTAAAGTAGCACATAGTGTTCTATTATGAATATAGGTAATATGAATTGCTACTTCAGCCCATAATGTAAACAGTAATTTAGTAGATGTTAGATATACTCTTACACCTCTAAATATAGTTTTATGTGTTTGTTCTGTTATTCTGTTCTGTTGTAGAGTATGATGTACTGTTAACCTTTGTTTTGTTCCTTGTGAATCTAAATATTGTTGGAAATCTTTACTAAGGAATACAGTATTGTTATTACTTTGTAAAAGCTTTATTTTAACTCTGTACTGTGTAAATATTTTAGTTGTCCATCATATGTATTGTGTATATGTATCAGATTTTGTTTGTAATTTGAGCATTATGCACCAACAAGTAGAATTGTCTACAATCATTAATAAGTAGCATATGTTCTTATATGTGTACAGTTCAATAGGACCAATGATATCAATATGAATAAGATCTCTAAATTGATTTGCAAGAGGAGATTGACATAGTTTTAGTATTAGTGTATGTTCAATATTTGCTTTTATACATTCAATACATTCTTTTTCTTTATAGTTTGTTATTTTAGTTGATAGTACACTTGGTTGTGTCTTTAATAATCATTTAATATAATTGTAACTTATATGTCCAAAGCATTTATGTATATCATAAATAGATAGTTTGTTCATTGTTTTTAATAAATGATTATTGTACAAAATATACAAGTTATTTCTCAATCATATATGTCTGATGTATTCATTACATAGTAATGTTATAGTACAATTATTGTTTGTAAACATAAAAGAATAACCTTCCCTACATAGTAGTGCTTGACTTATGAGGGAAAAGGTCATTTGTGGATAGTAATAGATGTTTTGTAATGTTATGATGCTTTTTTCTTGTATATTCTTCAGGATTTCAATACACATAGATCCAGCTCAATTAAGAGTCATTGTTAATCTATTTGTAATAGTTACAATTGTAGGAGTTATGTTGTGTACATTTGTTAATTGAAATAGATAAGGAGTAGTATGTATTGATGCACCAGAATCAAGTAAATCCATTGTTTACATATAGGATTTCTTGTTAGTTATGATTGTATTTGTAAATACATTGGTACATACCTAAGAAACATATTGTTCGAATTGTTTGTCCTGGTTGCTTGGAATAAGAGTGTAGGCATTATTGTTTATTTTAACATTGCCTTCCTTTAATTCAACATTGTTTTTGTTTGGGTTTTCAATAATAAATGTGTTTGTTGTGTTTTCTACAGTTTGATTTGTTTTATACACAATGTTAGCCTGATGTTTAGTGTGTGTAAGCTTTGTAGCTTCAGTAGGAGGTTTACAGCATTCCTTAGAGAAATGTCCTGTTTTTCCACAATTGAAACATTTTGCTTTTGTTGGATTGAATGGATTTGGTGGATTGAATTTCCTCCACTTATTGGCTTTATACATTGTATTAATACATACATTATTCTTTGTCCAATCATTAGAATCTTGTACTTGTTTAGCACAGTAATCATTGTAGGCATTCTGTAATGTAAGGATTAGTTGCTTTGGTTTGACTTTCTTATGTTCATTGACTGGTTTGCCTTTGTTTTGAGCATCAGTAGATTGTATTATTATATTTACTACATGTGTATATTACTCAGGAGTGGTAAGCAATATTGCTGCTTTGTATGTAGAGTTGTATAGTAGATCATTGTTAGCAGACAGAGTTGTATATGCTTCCTCAAGTCTGTCTAATGTATGTCCAAAATGTTTTACATAGTCTCTACAAATGAACAGTGCTGATTTGTTGATAGCCTTTTTATGTACTGTCTAAGGGTTAAAGCATTCTTCAAGCACTTTCATTAACTGAGGGATAGATGTATCAAAGTGTATATAGTTTGTCAATATTGTGTCAGCAATGTTATTAACTATGTATGTATGAATAGCCTTAGCCATCTCCCTCTTAGCTTCATTCTGTAGTTTATCCTTTAGTAAGTGTTTGAAGCATGTAGCTGTAACACTAGAAACAATACAGTAGTACTACATCTTGTAGTTTGCTTCAGTCTTAAGTATTGTAATGTTTTGACTGAAGTATTTAGGTACATCAGCTGGTTTACAGTGTGTATCTGTACATAGGGGAACTATAATGCAAATGTGTGCAAATGTATGCAAGTAAAGAGTTTAGAGTGTACAGTGGATGCATGTATGCAGGGAGCTCAAGACTCATAACCTGTTGAGAGGAAGAACTTAAGGGGGGCATGCATAGACAAGGGGTGAGGTGACAATTGACTGCTCAGTGTCTCTCGTCCTTATATTGTATGTATTCTAACTGAGACATTATGAAGTCATTGTCTTGTGGTTCGTCTGTTGATGAACTAATCATCTCATAATAACAGGTTTGCAGGAACAACAATAGCCATGGTGCAGAGACACTACTGCTGATGCTGCAACAGTGTAAGGTCCTCAAACTTATTGACCAGTTGCTACAGGGCATTTATTGCCCTCGCCTCATATCAGTTCTAAAGGAACTTTCATCGGTCAATAAATTGGTAGGCGGGCATAGCGCATGAGAAACGACATGCTTCAGGTACACCATCGATTCTCTATCACCGTTCGCATCATGACAAAGGGAAGAGAAGTCGAGTTGGCAGCTTATCACTGCTTATCCCGTGTTTCGTTACATGATTGAACTTTGCTTTGATGAGAGCTAGATGCACATTCATAGAGACTTGCGTTACAAGACTGCCCGAAAGGCTGCGCCCGTGTAGCCGCGGAGGAACCTAAGACCGTAAGATATATTTAGATGTTCTTCAAGAAGGCTGTCATGACAGAATCCATGTGACTATCGAGTAATCAAGAAACTTTAGAAACTTTATTCTATTACTCGTCTTCATACTCCTGTTATGCGAGAATGCAACATAAGTGAAGATGTAAAGATGTTTGTGGGCTTAGGGTGAGTGCATACAGCGCGATTTTGGGCCTCGTAAAATAACATGCTGCACTTCACCGTTCATATGTATGCTGAGAGTAGGCAATAGTCCTCTTCGCATGTACATGCGCCGTGCGGTATTGCCTCATCTGAGATTAAGTCGGGCAAGTCTCTTCAACAATGTAAGTGTATTAGGGGATTAGCGATCCTCGAATATATGATAAGGGGCCTAATAACCCAAGTGAGTAACCACAATAGTAGTAGAGAAAATTTTCTAGTTCGGACTCCACTATGGTTGCTGCTGAATAGGTGTTTCGCTATGGGTAAAGTCACCCTTTATAGACGGTTATGTGATGTGTTCTGGTCTTCGCTTGATTGATTGCGAAAGAAGAGTCCAGTTCCGCAAAAGCTATGGGACCAAAGTCACGCATTCAGGAATCGCGCCATCTTTCTTATTCATTTGTCCGACCGAAGGTATGCCATTGTATCCTTGATCACAGACCATTGACACAGAACCTCACCAAAGTCAATTTCAAATTCAACGTGAAAGGTGTTTACAATCTTTACGCATGTGCACCGGATGCAATAATACAGATGTATCATATTTGGAGTACGGGATATTATTTGCGCGGTAATTGATTTCTGTGTAAACTTTGTTGACACCCAAAATGGCAAGCATGCTGTATTTGTAAGTTTGGACCCACAGAGATCGGCGTCACTTTCGCGATTTCGCGACTTGCACACAAGCTTCACGAATACCCTACCGCAAGGAATATTACTGGTCCCTCATGCTCCTGAGCAACATATTGCTCGTAAAATTTTTTTGCAAGTAACGGCTTTCTACGGCAAATTTAGGGGAATGGAAACGCGCAATCGATAATTCTGCAAGAAGTCTTCCAGAACCGGACTCGGGCGGTATGATAATACATATTCTGGGTCCGGGCGTCGTGTCAAAGTAAGGGAATCCAGCGTCCATTCAAGACCAATGTCTACCTCTACACTCTTACATGAACCCCTCTTTCAAACGCGTCAAGAGCTCCTGCCTCGAGAGGAGCGTATTGCACTTTCTCATGTACGCAGCGCTGCGATTGCCCGCCGACTGCAGCTTACCGCCCATGATATCGAGAAAATGACACCGAAGTTCTGGGCGGCACACGCTGACCCGATTCTATTTCGCGATACGAGTGCAATGACGAATGTAACGATTCAGTACAACGTTGTTATCGGAACTCTTCTGGACAAAGGCAAAGGTAGAACTGACCTGACGGAACTGATTCAAGGGCTTATGGCCTATAAGATACTGTACGCTTCTCACTAGTCCTGACTCGTCGATAACTGACTGGAAGTGCTTAGGGGCCAGTTCCTGCTGACAGAAATTGGCCATGGTTTGGATGTGGTGAACATGGAAACAAATGCTACTCTTCTTCCAGATGGCTCGTTCGATCTACATTCTGCGGGCCCTAATGCGGCTAAGTGGGACATGAAACGTTCCTGTGCGGAGGCGAGAGCGCTCATATTTATGTTCTTTTAGGTGGATGCCCTCGACAGTTCCTGTTGGTTATCCATGCGTTGCAATCGTCTTTGCGAGACTCCTTGTCAAAGGCGAAGACTGGGGTGTTCGTCCATTTATTGTACAGCTCAACGATGGCAAGCAGATGTGCAAAGGAGTCCAAACCAGGCAAGTCTACCGTTCTCGATGCTCAGTACCACCCTCATCAGTCTTCCAGGCTCGCTCCACCACGGGACGATAGTGATCCCCTCAACCATTCATTGACTACATTCACCCACGTCCGCCTTCTTAGTACTGCACTCCTTGGACCTTTATCAAAGCCTGCATCTCTCCGCGAACAGTTCTTGTCCTCCATCTGGCGCGTCACCGTTGGCTCGCTTGTCATCTCGAGCGATGCCATCCCAAGCCTCAGGATCGCGGCGTACACAGTCGGACGGTACAGCCTACGTCGTAAGGTACAGGGTTCACTCTCCGCGCCCGCACCTATCATGCAGTTCCGTACGCAACAGGCACCTATTGTCTTAGCACTAGCAGAAGCGTACGTGCTAGATGCACTCAGGCAATGGGCCATCCCGATATTCTTGGACGATAGTTTGGACATAGATGTCCGAAGGGCAATATCAGCTGTGTCCAAGGTTTTGCTCTTGACGCATCATCAGTCATTGATTGAGGTCTTGATCGCACGCTGTGGTGCACAAGGTGTATTTCGGTATAATGGACTGACTTCCGCTGCGGTGCGTAATTATGCATCTTGGAATGTCTGTTGCTGAATATTGTACAGGGTCTAATACGAGGATTCGCCATTGGAGAAGGAGATTTATTAGCTCTCTCTATTCGTAAATATGCGTTTCTGTCTTCCTTTTGAGTATTCCTCACTGCTTGCATTGCAGGGCTTGCGACTGAACTTCTGCTCGAGCGCTACCAGGTACCGCAGACAGACAACCCCACATCGCTACTTGCACAACACGAAGCTGGGCTCATCTCTGAATGTCGCACTCTCCTCAAATCAATGAAAAGCCATCGCAGTCCAGAGTTTAATCGACAGCTTATCCCACAATGCCAGCCCATTGTAGAGGCTATCGGCTGTCGCATGGCCTACGATGCTGCCCGCGCACGGGGCATTCCCGAGCCTTTCATAGCGTTGTTTGAAGCGAATGCAGTGAAATCTGACCTTGCGTGGTATATCGAGAGGGGTCTGATTAGCCGTGAGAGGGCAAGGAATATGGAAGCTGATGCATTGGACAGGGCATACCCGTTACTTGAGGAATGGCTGGATAATGAAGAGAATGGGAAGCATGTAACTGCTCCTATCATCTCTGATGATACGTGGAAGGCGTTCCACGATACTTTACCCATTTACTCTGGCTCGGCGAATCCAGAAATAACTAACGGAATGGAGGCGGCGTCGAGAACAACATCCTCGAAGTTGTAAATTTAATTCGCTATACCTTTCGCTGTTGAAGTCCCTGTACCTGTACATCAATCCAAATGGAACATGTAAATATGCGTTAGGAACTGTTCGGATCTTCGTCGCTGGAAGATGCCCAGACGTTTACAGAGTGCTAGAAATCAAACTTAGACCAAAAACGCATTCAAGTTTCGGCATTGATGTTTCAAGCCTTTCTCTTCTTTTCTGTCCATCATGATCATGATAAGTAATGGAACTAATACATGAGAACATGAGCATAAAAATTCTCCTACATTTCCCGAGTCATGACCTCGCTTATAAAGTTATTTACCGAAGAAGCAGGCCGCAATTTCACACTGAACCCTATACGCATATAAAAATATTATGGATTGTTACACATCACTTTACGTCTTCGGTCATCTTCACGCCTTACTGACTCGACTGAGTCGCGTCCTAACCGAGTGCTCAGCAACGTTCAACCATGGCCGCTAACGCTGATGAGACGTGCGTACCAATCTATAAGTGTACTCATGGATTTCATTGATCTAACAACGGTAAAGCTGCATCTTCTGCATGATTATTGCTGGTAACTATGGCTTGGTCTCGTGAGGTGAGAAAGTGTCTGAGACAGTGACTACAGGGAAGATTCCCAGCTTCAAGGTCTACGAATCCGATCTCACGTTCGTGAACAGTTCGAGCCTTCAAGGGAATGTTCATATAATTGACATGAAATGAATTTATTAGCCTGGCGTTCCTTGATATCAGCCCAGTATCTGAAGGGCATACACAGGTTATTCCTAAATGTAACGTTTCGCTCAAATTTGTTCTGTCAGCCCTTGAACTAAGGAACATTACACTTTCAGACCATGCAAAGACAATCGGAGATCTGCCAGACGAATATCTTTCTGACATAGCTGTCATATGCAAGAAGGTCGCACTTGCCACAGAAGTTGAGCAATACAACATCTTGCAGGTTTGTTGACAGTTCTTCCAAAGTATATGCGTCTTAATATCTAAACGTACTATCCCACTCCTCTTCAGAACAATGGAAAGATGGCTTTCCAGGTAAGTACAACGCAAACTAAGAACATTTTATACCTGCAGCTCATGACTGGTTCTCAGCATGTCGACCATGTGCATTTTCACGTCATCCCCAAACCGAGCGAAACAGAAGGCCTCGTTTTGAATATTGAAACTAACTGGCCGCAGAAGAAGCCCTCGAAGGAAGATCTGGCTGTGACGCTGGAAAAGATGAAAGCTAGGCTATAAATTGTCCACCCGATATATTCGAATTAATCGTGGCATGGAATTGAACAAAATGTATTGATTGTTCCCGTCTTGTAATTTGCAAAATGCATATTATGATATAACAAATGAAAGCCAACAGCACGAAAAACAAAAGAGACCATCAGAATAAAGTAGGTGACGGTTATAAAATACTTTTTGTCCAAGTAATGTTATAGTCTCAAGCAACAACTTGGACTAAGTGCCATACTTCGGCTTGAAAAATGCTGGCGGTAGACCACGCAATATGTCAAGAAGCGGCCGTTCTACGACCAATAGTTCTCCAGGACTCAAGAAATCTACACATAGAATCGGACGGTAGCGTGATATGAGCTTGAAGTTGCTCATCGTTTCGTTCTCATTTTCGAGGTTTAAATCATCTGCCACTTCAGCGTCTGCATCTTCTCCTGGAATGGGTGGGCCAATATTCCTCTTGTCCTTGGACCTCGACTTTGACCTGGGACCATCACGAGGTCGTTTCTTGAGGAAGCCACCCCATCCGACTGGTGCATCTAGAGCAACGCGGCATAGCCAAGTAGAACCCCAGAACAGCGCATGGCGTCTATTATCGATGACATTATCGGACTTCGATGTTGGGGAAGAGTCCAGGGAAGGAGATGGAGGTTCAATGACAATGCCAAGGACACTGTCATGCAAGCTTGTCCAACGTCGTGGAAGATGCTCCCGTAGTGCGAGATGTGAGGCCCATGGTGCGAAGCGTTTCGCTTCGACGTCAAAGACGCCGATTGTTGAATCGGAGTGTGCTAAGATAAGCAGCGTTGCACTTGATGAAGCTGAAGAAGATGACAAGGACAGGGCAGAAGTTGACGGAGAAAAAGCGAGAGCGGTGACTCGGGAAGGAGACGTAGGGAGGACGGTATGATGCTGATAACAGGAAAATGGATCAGCGTCCGCCCGAGAATAGACTCATACATCAGACAACTCACCTGGACGGAATCAAGATTGAAGATATGTGTACGATACTGGCTATCCGTTGTTGCAAGCCATTGCCCATCAGGACTGAATGCTATTCGAATAATAAACGCACGCTCTCCCTCTGTTTCGCCATCCGATTCGTCTGAAGACGTCCCTTCCTTCCCGTCTTTCGCATTTTCCACGTCCATGTTCACGTCGCTATTCTCAGCTGTATTTCTTGTGCTTCCTTCATCATTATGCGAAGAGTCACTATCATCATCTCGTGCATGTGGAATGCCATTCGCACGTCCTGGCATGCCCTTTACAACACGTCCGTGTGCGAATAGTGCTCCACGTCGTGCATGGTGATCGAATTTTCTCAATACACGCGGTTCTGGTCGACCCTCTGTCGATCGGCCAGTGAGATCAACGACAAGAACACGGGCAGTACGTGCTAACGCAAGGACCAATCGTCCACTATCCGGAGTGAACCCCAAAGCACTGGCACCTTCTGGTTCTTTACTCGATACAGAACTTGACGACAAGTAACCTGCAAGCATTGGCATGAACGATTTGATGCGACGTGGTTTGATCCTGCCGTCCCCTGAGGCTACAAGCAGTTCGAAGAGCTTAATCTCATAGGTGTCTGATACCACGAGCCAATGACCATCGTCAGATATTGCACATGAGCAGATGTTCGTCACCACGTCTAGTTCCATGTCCAGCAGCTTTTCATATCCGCATTCATCCTCTTCTTGCTTCATGGCACCAGCACCAGAAGAGGGTCCATCCACGTCCATAGCCTGTGCTGCACGCAAGTCTGCTTCAAGCGCACTTGGGAGTCGCGCTTGTCCTACGATCCTCCATACACTTACGCCCGTGCCTCGTGAGCATACAATGAGGCGACCAGTCCTCGCAACTCTTACGGACGGCGAAATGCCTGTAGGATACGCAAGACGACGGTGATATGCATCTTCAAAAGTTGATATGGCACTCGTGGCAAGTGGATTGACTACTTGCTGAACGTTTGTACTCGCTGTCGCACAGGGAGCTAGAACAAGAGAAGCATCTAGACCACCCGAAGCCAGGATGGGTGCTATGCCGGAAAATGGACTTGAAGAGGTGGCAGCAGGGCGAACAGATGTGCTTATAGGAAGGTAAGGTGGCCAAACTGCAAGAGCACGAACGTCATGCGAATGCATACGTTTCGAGGTAGAGTGCACCCAGCGAGTAGACGATCTGAGTGATTCCTTCTCTGTCCTGTCTGTGTTGGATATTTTAATATGGGTGAAAAGGCAGACTTTTTGGTCTACGCCAGAGGTGAAAACCGATTTTCCATCCTATTTAAAGGTAAAAATATTATCGGTAATCGCATATTGATAAAGATCACTCACTGGTCCTATGGCCATGCATAATACATCTGCACCATGTGCAGTGAAACTATGAAGCTGAGTACATGACCGTGCGTCCCAAAACTTCACAACTCCCAAAGAATCACCTGAGATAATGGTCCCATCTCTTTATGACAATCAATACTGGGAGTAAGAAAGTGAAAGAGAAACATACGCGAGGACTCCGACAGCCCAGACCAGTGTCCTATCACCCCGAACCTTGTCCGTACTCATCCTATCCAGAACTCGACCAGTCTTTGCATCCCATTTTCTCAAGCTACTGTCGGAACCACCTGTCACTAGCCAAGAATCTGTCCATTTCACATCCTCGTCTTCGTCATCGTTATCCAATGCTTGACTGCCCTCTGTCCTTTGCGGAACAGAAGGTGGTATTGGTGGTCCCCAAGCGATACTAAGTATCCGACACTTCACGCGATCGAAACGTCGTAAATGCATCAGTTCATTGTCCGCGACGTCAATTAGTCTTATGCAACCGTCTTCACAACCCACGGCAAGCCGTGTACTTGCTTGGTTGGCAGCTATGCTCCAGATTGCTCCACCTTGCGAATTCAGAGTGCGCTACAGAAATTATTCTTAAAAGCCGAAAATTAAGCCGAATGATGCATCACTAACGAGGATAGTTCCAGATGCAGTGTCCCATTCTACCAGCTCACTTCCACCACCAGCGCTGAACAAACGTAAGTCTGTTCGGGAGGGGACTTCGTTGTACGCGAGCAAATGCGGATGTCGTAGTACAAATACTAGCGAATCAACTTTGGACGGATTAGGTCCATACAGGATCTAGAAACATTATGAACATATTGAATAAGGCAGCAACGAATGAACATACTTTCGACAATACCCATGCCTGAGGGGCTTTTAGCGTATGTTCTTGCTCTTGGGGAGGTATCGCCCATTCGTACAGCTCAATATTTCCGTTTGCACGGCCGACGGCAAGCGTTCCAAAACGACCCTTTCTTATCCGCTGAGTATTTTTGCGTCGAGAATCGCGCGGATTAGGAAGCGCGAGCGGAGGGAAAGCTACTGCAGTAATTGCAGCTGGATTGTAGTCGACAAATCGACATCGATGCACAGCATATGCTCGTGCATTTGATGGCTGGGCCTCCGCTTGAGAGCCGTAGCTTATTGTGGTTGGCATAGCAGGAGGAAAGTGCTTAGACAGGCTAATAAAGCATTACAGTGTGTGTGCAATCGCGTGCCAGACATGTTCAAAATTTTGTAGAGAGAGAATGTCGATCGACAGCACGTGCAGATTTGCCTTCGGCGATTTCTCGTTTCGTGTCTACCACCATTTTGTCCACCTACCACCTCGTACAAGGGTCTGCACGCTTTTCTTCTTTATATCACCATGTCTTTCTTTCGGGGCTCTTCTCCTTCATCCGCTCCTTCTGGAAACATCAATCCAGATAAGGTTGAACTTGCAACGGCAGAGTTCGTTCATTTACACCTCACTCTAGCCATGCAACTGACACAGAAATAGGCTGGATATGATTACCGACATGTACAATCGTCTACTCTCGTCAGAGATACATTATTCTTCATAGTTTATAGTGCTTAACTCTGACAACACGTGCTTCAAATTTATAGGATGTGCTACACCAAATGCATTGGTCAACGTTTCACCGACGGAGAACTCAACAAGGGCGAAAGCGTCTGCGTTGACCGATGTGTTGCGAAGTTTTTCGAGGTGAACAAGAAGGTTGGCGAGAAGATGCAACAAGCGGGAGCCAATGCACAGGCAGGCAATGCGGGCAGCTCATTTACGTCGCTATGATTTCGCTACGCCTCATTCCGTTTTTCACTTGCATACCCCGTTGCAATCGCTGGTCTTACATGGCACTTCTGCACAAAATTAGAGTTTACGATAAGGAGCCCCAGTATACATGCATGCTCTGTAATTGCATCCCAAATCACAATATATTCGAGACAGCCCAAAAAATAGCATTTGGAGAAGGAACAAGATGGCCCAGGAAAGCTATGTAGCATTTGGTGCTTCCAAGAGTATTATATCCGAAGGAAACGGAGTAAGTACAATGCTAGTCGAAGCACTCTTCCTTCGTTTTCTTGTGTCGATTCTCTGCGTGTTCGACCAATCTGACACGTCACAGGTCAGCTTACTATGCCTGGAAGCAAGACTGGAACATGGAAACTCTTACTGTGGTAGGCGTGTTGTTAACATCTAGTGGGTGTGACGTATGAGGAACAGGTCAGTAAAGCGCAAAAGGGTACAGGAAGCCGGTGAGAAAAAAAAAAGTGTGCACGTACAAACATTTGCCTGCAGACCTTGCATTGGATGTTCTTTGCTGCCTCATTGGTCTTTAATTGGCTCTTGGCTGCCTTTGGACCAGCCTTTTCGGCACGATCGCGTCGTTGCTGTGCTTTTGCACCCTGTATGATGAGCAAAATGCATCTGTCAGACTCCGGACGGATTGAATTATTTTGATAAGAACAACCGCACGTTTCCCATATCAAAACACAAACTGCAGAGTCAATAAAGAGAGAGATAAAAAGGTGATGCACTATTATTGAGATGAAGACAGGAGAAGACTGACTGAGTGACTGAAATGGCCTGGACTGGAAGCAAGCTGTCACTGACTGAAAATCAATCCAAAACCAAAAATATCTTCTGCACGTGATTGCCGGAAACAGAACCAACAATCCGTTGATGATCCAGGTTGGGCACATTTCTCCTGCGTTGATTCAGAGTGTGAACATTACTCCGGCTCTTTATATAGCCCTGCGTTTACAGGATTACAAGTATATAAACTGCATGCTGCTCCGTCATGCCCTCTCCAGTTCACACCCAACTCGTTCTCTCCGCCAGTTTACTAGAACTTATAGGCTCAAGATGACCAGCGTCTCTGTTACAAAAGTATCAGGCTTAGACCTAAACGCGGCCCGGGCTCGACTCGCAAAGGATATGCAAATAGACGTGCTTACAGCTACTCAAGAGACTGATAACGAGGCCGCGCGGAGGGAAGTCGCTAGGACGTTCACCTGTGCGTGTCTCTGCGCACACACCTGTACAGGTTCTTTCACTAACATTATTTCGAGCCCAGCGGATACACGTACAGGTACACCTCCGAATTCCTTTCCATGTTCCGAACCGCGTGATTCATTCATGGTATTTTAGTTCCTACACCGGAGATGCAAGCATATGCATTCAAGGCTTCTCTTGGTGATGATGTCTACCATGAACCGGCAACACATGCTCTAGAACTTGCTATTGCCCGGCTCACAGGCAAGGAAGCCGCGTGTTTCATGCCCTCGGGAACAATGTCAAATCAAATTGGAATTAGTACTCACCTAAAGAAACCTCCATATTCTATACTGTGTGACCAGCGTGCGCATATATTCAAGTATGAGGCAGGGGGTCCAGGTTTCCATCGCGGCGCATTGACAATACCAGTCCTACCTTCAAACCGTGAATTTATATTTTATTTTATTTCTCCGACTTCACAAATTAACTGGGATTGCATTTAGATCACCATTTAACGCTTGAAGATATAAAATCAAATGTCATCCTTGGCGAGGACGTTCACTACGCACCAACACAAATCATCGCTCTGGAAAATACGTTGAACGGAACAATTATTCCTCAATCCGAAATTCTCGCTATCGCTGACTTCGCTCGTTCCGAAGGGATCGCCTTACACCTTGATGGAGCACGTTTATGGCATGTTGCGGCCGAGACAGGAACGCCGTTATCGGAGCTTTGTGCACCATTTGACAGTGTTTCACTTTGCTTTAGCAAAGGTCTTGGTGCACCTGTCGGGTCATGCCTTGTTGGAACGACAGAATTCATTCAGCATGCACGTCGATTCCGCAAGCTGTTCGGTGGCGGCATGCGACAAACGGGTGTATTGGCAGGCGCCGCGGCGTATGCCGTGTCCAATAATTTCCCTCTCCTACCCAAGGTACACGAGCTGGCCCGGACTCTCGAGCGCGGGCTTGAAGAGGCTGGTTGCGAGATCCTGAGTCGTGCCGAGACATGTATGGTCTGTTATTCCAATTTCTATGCTATCTAAATCGTAACGTCAACCCTTCACACGCCAGGTATTCTTTGACTCTTCGCCAGTCGGCGTGCCGCTCGGTGAGCTCATCGCACGAGCTGCAGCACTTCCAGAGCCAATCCACTTCCTTGGCTCACGTCTAGTGGTGCACATACAAACATCTGAGGAGGCGGTTTCCGACTTTTTGGCTCTCGTACGCACGATGGCAGAGGAGAAGTGTGCTGCAGGTTTTGTACGTTCTGAAAAGAAGCCCGAAACGAACGGCACGACCTCTGTTTATAAGGATGTTTACCTTAAACAAGGAAGGAATCTAGTTTAACCAAAATAGAACGTCTATGGAAGGATAGATAGGTGGAATTGTTGATAAGCACCATGTATCTTGGATTAAAGGCCTTTTGTTGTGAAATTTACCGTGTGATCCATGCTGACGCGTTATTGACGCTTGTGTACGCGTCTGGTCATGTGTCAGCACGTGCCTTCACGTGTAGTAAACTTTTCCATTTAATTGGATTAGCATATAAAACGGTCCATTCAAGAGTCGAGGCATGGCATTCATTCTTCGAGCTGTCTTTCGACCAACTCTGCTAAACCGTCCATTATCGTGCAAAATAACGACAATGTCTAGCACTGTAGCTCCGTTCCTCGTCACTCCAAATGATGTGCAGTCTGCGTTGAACTCAGCTAATGATCAGAAGAAGGTTGTCCTGCTTGATGCGAGTTGGCATATGCCGAACTCTCCGCGCAACGGAAGGGAAGAGTTTGGTGCGAAACGTCTGCCTGGGGCTCGTTTCTTTGATCTGGATGGCGTCGCCAGCTCCCATGAATTGGGTTTGAAGCATATGATGCCCAAACCAGATCAGTTTGCCAAAGCCTGTGGTATGTCCAATACTTCGTCGGGTAACGGGTTTTTGAGTTAAGATCTGATTTCGTGCAGAGGGTTTCGGAATAACCCCCGAGACGTTTGTCGTGCTGTAAGTCCAATTATAAGTTCACAGTACTAGTGGACTGCTGATAACCTAACCATTGAATTGGCATAGGTATGATGCGCATGGAGTTTTCAGTGCCCCTCGCGCTCTGTTCACATTCCGTGCATTTGGACATACCAACTCAAGCGTTCTTGATGGTGGATTGCCACGATGGGCGGCGGAGGGACTTCCCATTGAAACCGGAGACTCTCAGAAGGTTGATGAACCAGCAAAAGTGTCGTATCCTACACCTGAGTATGATTCCACCGTCATAAAGAGTGAGGATTATAACTTGCGAAATTATTTGAAACGAACGCACTGCTGAGTCTGTACGCAGGTTATGAGCAGATAGTTTCAAACGCCGAGCTGGATCCGGCTGGAGAACCAACTACTGCTCTAGTCATCGATGCAAGGCCTAATGGAAGGTTTGTAGTTTCTTTTTATTTTCCATGGCTCGGTACTCACAAATGGTCCTTTTTGCAGATTCACAGGCAAAGACCCCGAACCTCGCCCAGGACTCTCCTCAGGACACATGCCTCACGCTTTCTCACTCCCATTCAATGCCTTCCTCCAAAAGAACACAACTCCTTCAGGTGACACATATACCACTTTCCTCTCAGCGCCAGCTGTTCGTCAAACACTTAACAACGCTATCGGTGAGAAGAACGCACAAGATGTCATTGACGGAAAGAGGTCTATTGTCGCAAGCTGTGGAAGTGGTATGTCTGCTGCCATCTTGTGGCTTGGATTGAGACTGCTGGGTGTTGAGAAGCCCATGTTGTATGACGAGGTGCGAGCTTGACTGTTGTGTCCCGCATAATCGAGCTGACTTGGGGTCTTTTTATCTGGCCTCGTTAGTCTTGGACAGGATACGCCCTTCGTAAGGAAAGCAAGATCGTCAAAGATATATAAATCAAATAACTCGGAATCGGCCACTTCCTATCAATATCTCGGTCACAGATAATTATCAGTTTCTCTTTTCACAAACCAGGTTTCAAACTTCATGGAATACATTATCCCATCTTTCTTATTTGAATATTCCCAACCGACGGAGCCGGATGCGATGCGGATGTATGTGTTGAAACTCATATGCATATGATTGTCCAGTTTGAGTTCGATGACGTCTAGCCTTCACGTTGCAAACTGAAGTGTATATTATAAGACTGCTTAATATTGACTAAATAAGAAGGTTTAATCTAATGCCGGTACCTTCTGTTTTGACACTGACAATAATCTTGGTCAGGAAAGCAAGATTTAAAGATATGTAAACCAAATAATCGGAGCCAGCCGCTTTCCACCAGATTTTTGAATACTGGATAATCCAAATCATCTCCATCAGCTCCTGATTCACAATTAACTTTCCTCTTTCTTGGGTACGGGAATGCATTATTCCATCGTCATTATTTGAATATTCCCAGGCGACAGAGACGGATGCGATGCAGGTGTATCCGTTGTCGGGGAAGCATATGATTTCCACTCCGAGTCCGATGACGTCTAGCCTTTCACGTTGCAAAACTGGAATGTATACTTACGAGACCTGATTGGCGTTGTTGAAATTTGTTCCTGAACTGAACCTTCCTAGTCATCCGCAATCTAAGGAGTCATTGGCGTCAGATTCCGCTGCACTAACCATACATACTTCTTCATCATATCTCGGCGTTATCCGTTCAATAGGGGTTTAGTCAAGCAAATGTTGTCAAAGAATGACGGGGACGTCATTCGAAAGTCTAATACATCTTTTGGTATGTACTATACAAAAAAGCTAGGCCTAATCGACCAAGAATATAGAAAACTCCAACTTCCACAGAGTGCTACGAGTTACAATACATCTATAAAGCAACCGAATTAACTCGTACACCTAGGATACCCGATAGACAGATTTGATAAACGAATGTTTGTTTTGAGATTGGTATGGGGACAACACGGAAAGCAAAGATCGAGATGGGTTTAGTGAGAACGAACGAACGAAAACATTGGGGATGATGAAGACGAAGATAGGTCGAATTTGAATAACTTAGACCAAAGACTCGATCAAACGATAAAAGTGAGAGAAAATGATCGTGGAAAACATATTGATAGAAGCTCTGGCCATGGGAACCACCGCGGCTAAAAACCAAAACTGAATGCGATGAAACTCTCGATTTGCCATCCTGAAGATGAATTCGGTGTTGAGGTGTAGCTTGATATTACGTCAATTCAAAGTAGCGCCCGCACTTGCTTTGCTTCTTCTTCACATGTGATACGAAGCCCTTGACACCGCAGTCCGTAGTCCGTAGTCGCAATTTAATCGCAGTCATGGTCGGACTAACACACGGTGTTTGAATCCGGATGACGTACACAGCAATCTTCAACCCAGACGTTGGGGGAGTTGGATGTGTTAACTGCGATCTGGGGAATACACCACGAGAACCACAAGAAAGGACCGCAGACGGGACTTCGTGAGGTTCGGAATCGCTATTTGCGGATACGCTCCCGTGGTCCGGTAGTTGAGATGTGTTGGTTGACAAAACCGAGACGTCTAGTTGAAACCACTCCATCTGTAAGAAGATGATTCATGCCAGAAACAGTTTGAGCCTCGAGATGGTTTGATTCGACGAATGAGACTATGCCGGGCCGAGTAATTCGATAAAAGGTGGTTGTCGGTGTGCAATGTCCGGCTTGCCAGCCGCGAGTGCGCCACGACCACTGTATTGCACTTCAAATCGCACCCGCTTACCCTTCCGGAGGACAGTAAGGCTCCATCTGATTTAGAGAATTGCAAAGTAACAGACACAAAGTCAGCAACGACTCGACAACAATCAAGCAAAATAAATAAAAAAACCATGACGTACCCTTCAAGCAGGAGAACATTGCAGTCCTTCTTGGCGACTTCTCTAAGGAGCTGCTGACGGGCAAAGATAAGCGCCTTGCGTCCGTGTTCTGCACCTGAACGTGTTGATTGGCTCGCCCATCCGCTGGAGCGCTTGCTCGACGCTCCAGAGTGTGATTCGAACACATAGGTGCCGCGTGTTTCTGCGGAAGAGAGATGGATGATGTCGACATCTGTGTGTAAAAGTTCGTAGTTAGAACATGATCGGGATAACGACGGATTAAAAAAGAGCATCAACAAATGACGAGTGATGTTGATGAGCACCGCCCAGTGCAGAAGGCTGTGTGAACGGTAACTTACCTTCGTCGTCGTAGAAAGTCGGGACAGGCTGGACAGACTTGTGATCGACAACCTCCCAGGGCGCATCGCGTCGGCGAAGGAAGACACGCATAAATTGGTATATGCGTGCGGGTGGAGGTGACGAGGCCGAACCCTTTGGAGTTTTAATGGAAATGGAAAGCATCTGCACGTCGGTCACCCTTATGGGAACAACGTGGTGTGGTAATGTGGCGAGGGGTGTGTCTTGGCTTCTATTGAGCCGGAAGCAACGAGGTAGGTACTTGATTCGACGGTAGGTGTGTTGTGGACGATCCGGTAGTGGAAGTCGTTTCTCGAGGAACTGGGTTCATGTGTTCGCGAGAATATCACATTCGCGAGGTACGAGGTTGAATCATGTCGCTTGGTGAAGGCTCCTATAAGTACGAATGCGCTGAGAATGCGCTGCGGGATGATTCAGGGTGCATTATGAATATTGGCGGCAGAGACGCCAGACAGCACAGCCACAGCATGTTACGAGCGCGTTCGGCTGTTTATACTAATTGGGCCATGCCGAAAGCAAAACGCATACGGCCCCGGTGCGGATGTTTGAGAGCCTGCGGTGTGTGGGGGACGGCAGTCCATTTTTGATAGTCAGCATCAAATCGCACCGGATAGATCTCCACCTCAAGAGTCAAGACGCTTTGATCGCAGGGCAGGTGCTTCCCCGGTTTCTTGATGATGATTAATCTATCACTCATTATGAGACGTGTTCGCAACAACGACGAATGAACACGTTTGCCTAACGGCAAGGCTCTAGTAGAGTTCTTAATTAGTGTACTAACAGATAGATATGATTGATGACAAAGTACGATGCTGGCTTGCATTTCTGCGACGCATCGGACAGTATTTTTTCATGACTCACGACTTTGCAACGGACCCAAATGACCAACTTGCTCAACAAGCAGCAACGTCGGTCTCTGCCAGATTCCTATAGGGTCAGATCGAGTTTGAGACATACCCTCTGCGCCGGCACAGCCAACAAAGAATCGGTATCGATCCGTAGTTGCTTTCCAACGCAGTATACGATTACAGATAAGACGCAGTCCAGGTCCGTAGTAGAACCATTTACTATGTAGGCATATTGCGTTGAGCCTAGACTACTAGTGAAGGAGGCTAGGAAACCCAATATGATAAGATATGGATGACAAAAGAGAACGTGTCAATGAGCGCCGGACCCGAGCCGATCGGCTGGAACAATACACGTCAACAACATAGGTGAGTGTTGAAACTGGATGCCACTATTAAGCCCCGCACGGAAAATGATACGTAGCATCTTAACGTGTCCATCAACAACGTGTGTCTTAGTCTGGGTGGTCTTACACTTTCAGATCTCAGTCAGTGAGACAGATACTGTGTTCGAATAGCCATTTATTTATGGATATCCAATATCCGGGTATGGCCTCTTACGCAATTTGCAGAAGCGCAGACACGAACTATCAGATGCATCACACTGACGGCTAGTAACACTGCATATCACCGAGTCATCTTTTGGCAGGCACAGGTCTAGTCATAAGGCATCTAGACGGCGATACATCCAGAGAACTGAGTTTGGTGCACCGAGGAGATATATCCAGACGACGGGTGCGGCGAGTACACGAAAGAGCATAACGATTAAACAAGAAGCCTCGACAATATGTCGCCTTGCGGACCGTCAACCTGTTTGCGGCGACTTGGAAGGCATCTAGACTCTCCGTTTTCATTTGAACGAAATCAAGGACCGCTCTATATTCCACTGTATGCTCGTCTTATCACCACGAACTCAAGGTCTACACCGCCATATGCATCAAGAAGCACCCTCACTCTCCACTCATAAGCTCGAAACGCTTACGCGCCATTTACTCGCTGGTAAAGCTATAGTAAAGAAGATGCTTGTTAGACGCGTCTACATTCATTTTGTTTGAATATTCTCCACATACATTGTAAGCGCCGCGCAGTTGGAATGACATAGCTCGAAAGGATTAATATGCCGAGTGTCACACACACAGCCGATGTAATGTAGTATCCATCTCGTTCTGTCACGCATGTCCCGCCGAGGTCTGCGCAGTGTGCCTTGCCTAGATCAGAGACACATTCGGTTGCTAAAATACGAACCAGAGAAGATGTCAAGTAGTCTTCAGAGGTTGGGTGGCCAGTAAATGATCCATACCCTCAAGGATTGTCTCGCTCCCACCATCATTAATCTTGCAGGTCGCGATTGTAAAGAAGTCGACGCCCTTTAACACAAAATAACGGGGCCAGGTTCCACCGAGGTTTGTGAACGTGTTCAGGAGCTGTAAATACAGAGAGCATAAGTAAACAGGATGACGCAAACGGGTTGCAGAACTAGGAATTAAAGATTCGGAGTTGGGAACTTACCGTCATGTACGTTCCTCCAATGAGCGGGTCCGAAATGCGCGTATGAAACGCGCTGATTCCTACAAACTGTATTGTCCTGCAAGAATGATGAATAAGGTCATTGCTTGCGCGCATCGGACTGAATAAGTCGAGACGTACACCGAGACACCCTGTAGCACTGTCATTAACACGAGGAATATGAAATATGAATGACTGATAGGCGGTTTGGGGAATTTTGAAACAATGACCGCCCACAAGGCAGCGAACCCGAGGCGCACCCATCCTGCAGCAAACCAGGGTCGCAGTGGTTTATCACCCAATGACCAGCGCGCGGTGAGGTAGCCTAAGAGGATCTGACAGGGGAAGTCGATAAGCACTGCGAGGGCAAGATCCTCGCGACCAAGCCCTTTCTCAACGAGCTTTAGAGACGTCGCCGCTTCATTTGCTTGAAATCCGACTTTACAGATAAAATGCATTATTAATAGGGACTGGACGTCTGGGAAACAATCAGTGTAAAGTAACGATCAGATGGATGATGTTGCCTACGTGGGAGCTTGCAGATACTCCATATGAGCTTGTAAACTTTTACAAGATCCATGTCCTCGTCTGCTGCCGAGGGCTTTTCCTCTTTCTTCACGAAGACAAGCCAAAGAGTGACAGCATAGCAGACGAAAGTCCAGAATTTTAAGTAGCCCGACAAAGTGAGGACAGGAACGCCCCATCTCGCTCTTTAAATAGACTCAGGGAACAAATTGTACAGATAACAGACTTAGAGCTTACGCGAATGCCTCGCTGTTTAGAGCAAGAAAGACAGTAAATGAAGCGAAGTACCCCGTATTAAGGCCAATTGTTTGGCACGTGGAAGCGTAGGATATATTTTCTTGCGACAGGAGCGTGAGGGCCCAGCCATCAACCGCAATATCTAAAGTTTGCTTGCATGAGTGGAGAAGATGCGAAGGGTGCTGAGATCACTTGCCTTGAGTAGCGGAGAGCAGAACGAGAGCAGTAAAAATGAAGGTGAGTTTATTGATATTGTCGGCCGGCTACTTCGTGTCAGAACGCGAGAAGCTTAACATCAGATTGATGCATACCGTTTCCAAGAGTAGCCCTACGTTGTTCGACATCCAGAACATTAAAGTCCCTATAACGAGTTGCATGGGGATGATCCACGATTTTCTTCGGCCAATTGTCGGGAAGTAACAGGAATCGACTATTGGAGACCATAACAACTTTAGAGAATAAGGATATCCAGCCAATGCAAACTTCCCAAGCTGCGAATATGACAAGTGTTCTCGAAGAAGGAAAGGAACGGATCCTAATGCAAGCCCCAGCTAACAAGAAGATTCACGTCATCGAGGCACACACGGAATAATCATAAAGTGACCTACTGGCACTCCTTGGATGAGGTCTGTATATCGTAGAACTAATTAGTATCTGTGGCAACTTACGCAAAAAAGCGACTCACATAGTACGATGAGTAGTGCCATGCCACGCTTGTCTTGCGTCGACATACCCCCCTTGTGCCGAGGCCTGGAAAGGTCCCCATCACCGACAGCAGCTGCTCTTCGTTCATCTTCGTTGAGGAGTGTTAGCTCCTGTTCTTCCCATGCGTCGCCGTTGATTGGTGTCCGCGGTGGAACACGGATACTTTCTAACTCTATGGAGGACGACACGGCTGGATACTTTGAATTTTTTGGCATAGGCTCGGAAGAGGGCTCGGGCGAGCGAGATGAACGAGGAGTTGCCCTGCGACGCTGTCTGGGTTTATTCCTCGACTTAGGAAGCCGGTCTGTGTTGTTGTCAGGGCGGGACATCAGCCGGGATAGTCGTGCGTGGAGGAGTAGTAGACAACTGAAGCGGCGGCCTATCCCGTTGCGCGTACGTGTCATGCGCGTTTTTGGAAGCAACATCAGACTCTTTTCTCAGCGCCGATCACCACTAAAAGTCATTTTCACGCTCTTTTCTCCAGGTCCCGGTTGCTCGTCGTCCTCCCTGCAATGGGCAGTTTCCTCTCAGATTGATGTACAACTGCTCTTGTATCTATTACTTGGATCGGAAATTTAACTTCACGCTTCCGCTCAACCGGGACAAATCTCGTCTTGGCTGCAAGAAAGATGACTAAATGGAGAACAAATGATGGACCTAATAAGGACAAGTGTGCTAAATTAGTTCCGTCTTCTTCAACTGCTTGATTTGATTTGACATGTAAAGCAGCATGCATTTGGCCACATATCTTGCTTTCTTTCCACCATCATCTCTTAACCAGCTAGTTTACAGTCGTTCCCTTCTTTCTTTTCCGGTTGCTCAACGACAATGAAGGCAATTGACATTGCATGGCAGCTGACAGCATACGGAGGAATCGTGCTGGGATTGCTCGTGCTTGTGCAAGCCCTACGTGGTCTTTTCTGGCTTGTTAAACTGTTTATTATCGCTCCGCCTCGCGATCCTCTGAGATATTTGCCTGGCCCCGATGCTTCTAGGCTAGTGAATCACTTCAACGAGGTCATGGATCCTGAACGTACTCCGTCCGTTCATGAGGATTGGGTACGAAGATTCGGAAAGACTTTTCGATATCATGGGTTCGGAGCAGTACGTGTCAAAATACTGTGAACAATAAAACAGTGTGATTTACAGGTTAAAAAAAGCATGATTATCGTCTCATGACATTTGACCTCCGTGCGGTTTCCCACGTTCTCAACTCCCCCGCATTCGAGAAACCATGGCAGACTCGAAGACTTCTGTCTCGCTTGCTTGGTCAAGGTGTGTGATCTCGACTCTTATCACGATGCAGTGTCTTTACCCGTTTGTGAAGGTGTGTTTGCAAAAGAAGGTGAAGAACACCGCATAAAAAGGAGGATAATTGGCCCTGCTTTCACACCACAAGCACTAAAGAACATGACTCCTGTCATGTTTCATAAGGTATTCCAACTGTTCTGTTATAGATCCCAGCTTCTAACTATTGCAGGCCGAAGAACTTAGGAATAAGTGGATATCGATGATCACAGACGGAACCAAAACTAAATGGGATGGTATTGTTACTGGTCTGCCAAAGGAATCCCTTCCGAAATCAAGGCCAGGAAACGAAAATCGGGAGAAGGGCCTTGTTGATGAAGCATTGATTGACGTCGCGCACTGGGTCTCACGCGCAACATTCGATGTCATTGGACTCGCAGGTTTCGATTATGCGTTCCGGTCCCTTGAGGATGAGACGGAGGAAGTTTATCTCGCGTACCGTACAATGTTTTGGGCTGCAGATAAAGGACCTGGGTTCAAGCGTATTGCAGAGCTCTTCTTCCCCATCATCGAGAAGCTTTGGCCTGATGAAGGTATTCGCCAAGTTAATGCATCGCTACGACCTATCAAGAGGAGGGGGGAGGAAATCGTTAGAAGCAAGAAACAAGCAGTACTGGCGGAAATTGCAAGCTCAAAGGAAATTTGGGACAAGGACATTCTTTCACTGCTAAGTAAGTCTTACAACAAGAACTTTTCGCTACTTTTCTAACGCAAACCACCAATAGTCAAGGCGAATCTGTCCGAAAACGCGTCTACTCGACTTTCCGATTCAGAGCTGCTAGACCAGCTTTCTACTTTTTTGGTGAGTATATCGAGTATATCAAGTAAATGGGACTATTCCAATTCTGATACCTCCGATTCTGAAGTTTGCTGGGTCCGACACCACTGCAATTTCTATCGCTTGGGCTCTCCATTATCTCGCACTCGATCCCACAATTCAAAATCGACTACGAGAAGAGCTTGCGACTTGCTATGCGGACCCTTCCACCAACACTGACTACATCGATGCACTCGACAACTTACCTTTCTTGGATGCCGTCGTTCACGAAACTTTGCGTCTAGCACCACCAGTCCATGGTACAATACGTGTTGCGATGAAAGACGAAGTGATCCCATTGAGCGTGCCTGTCACACTTCGCACTAACGAGATAGTGACTGCAGTGCGCATCCGAAAGGGAAGTTACGTGCATATCCCAATCGAAGGTTTGAACTACAGCAAAGACATCTGGGGGGAGGATGCTTTGCTTTTCGGGTCTGTCCACTTACACACTTTTCTTGAATCCTTGCTCATCCTGACATCTTACAGACCTGACCGATGGTTCACACTTCCTGCTACCGCCTCGCACCACCCAGGCCTAGCAAACGTCATGTCCTTCACATTCGGACCTCACGCATGCATCGGCTGGCGTTTCTCCTTACTGGAGATGAAAGTATTCCTTGCGTCGCTCGTCCCTCACTTCGAGTTCGCACCTGCTGCAGAGATCAAGAAGTACAATGCTATCGTTACGCGTCCTTATATTGAGGATAGATTTGAACATGGCCCCGCTCTTCCTCTTAGGGTTTCGAAGTTCATTCCTTAACTAGCTTCGAGTTGATATTCAACGCAATTTGGGCAATGATCTTGACAACAATTTATAATCATATCTCTAACTTATTGTTAATTTTGATTCTACTTTCACGCGTCTGCATTCATTGAAACGTACCAGTGACCAGATTGTATCATTCACCCCGCCCTCTTCTTTCTTTCTCTTACTGTTGACCTTTGTGTAACCTACAAAATTGATGAATGTATTTCTAACACGTCTTGAAATTTGTTAATTCTGCTCTACTAAGTATACTTGCATGCCTAATGGAGACCATCCATGAACAGAGGTAACTAATAGATGAGTCAAGTAGGAAAGGGGAAAAAAGTAAAAGATTGTGCATCATTCTAGCCCACCGCGAGGGTCGAACTCGCAGCCTTCAGATTCCACCTTTGCAGGACTCTTAAAGTAAGAGTCTGACGCTCTATCCGATTGAGCTAGGCGGGCAGCTGTTTGATTCTCAGATAGAAAAATAATAACCATATTAGTTACTTTATTAATTTGTATTCAAAGCCAAGCATTAAGATTGTCCCAAGCTGTAAAATAATGCATTGTTTGATCTGGTGGCAAATCTGCAATATGTTATGGTTCTTCTCTCTGATGACTAATATTAAGTACAACAGGTGTAGAGGAACAGTATATACATAGTCCAGTTGAAGATTTATTAACACAATTCATTGACAGACAACTTGTCTGTGAAAGATTTGAGATTAAGATTTATAACAGTAGTAGGAGAGTCCTCTACGGAAATATACATAATTCTACAAGGCAGATGAGAATGCATACATTCTAGCACAAGAAAGCAGACAAAACACAGCAGCAGACATCAAACTTTGGGACTAGAGCAAACCAATAACAAGAAGTAGTCAGTAGAGAACAGGACCAGATGCGTTATAGGGAACAAAGATGATGATAGTAAGACTATGCATAGTGTTGGTCGAGCCACTCAGTCATTTGTGAGGTCAATGAAGGATAAGTGTGTTACGAGTTTGCGAACATCCTCTGCATCCATGCTTTCCTTCGCAGGGATATGGAGATCCTTGGAAGTGTCAATGGAAGAAGCAGATTTCTCTTTGACATCTGCGTTGGGTTGATGCTTCTGAGTAGGCACAATGGATTCGTCCGTGTCAGTGCCTGCACCAGTCTCTCCACCATGCTCCGAGTCCGAATCCAGCGTAATGGCGATCACTCCATTGTGCTGAATAGGCTTGAATGGTGAACGTGTAGGAGTTTCCACGTTCGTGGGTCGGCGTGCACTAAGCACCGGCGAACCTTATAGTAACATTTTAGCCGATCGTTGTTCTGAACGTTTGGCCACACAAACATACCTTGGGTTTTATCTGCTTCCATTTTGCTGATTGCCTTCGTCTTTCTTGCTCGTGTTTTGAAGAGCGGGACAAGATCGCCTACTTTACAGATACCACAAACTGCAACGTATTAGTATCAGAACCTAAAATGCTGGGTGAAAGTCAGGTCCAGGACTTACCACTTGTTTCGACGTTGATGGAGTTGCTGTGTCGGCCATATCTGGATCGAGAGAGACATTGTGGGTTGGCTACAAAGTACACTTAAGAGCGTATTTTACATACATTTTCCGACAAGATGGCGTCTGACACTGCCATTCATATTTGTATGTAATGTCATAAGAATGCTTCGTCTGTAGAATGGTTTGATGAGAAAGCGGGTTTTATGAAAGAAGCCCAGTACACAGCTCACAGAGATAGAGATATCTGGCCTCTTTTGCATGACTTTATTCACCCTGTACGTAGAAGTTGAACAGGTGAATAACGGCTGGAAAGCGTAAAGCAACGGACCAGGCTTTCCACTCTCTACCGTGGTTCTCTTTTGGATTGCGGTTAATAACCCAGCACGCAAGATGACACATTTCGTGTGAAAGCGTGTTTCGGATACGTTCTTGCGAAGGCTCAGCTAGGCAAGAAGGGCATGACAGAATAGGCTCACCCTCGCAGTCGAGCACCTTAGTAGCAAGTTCGATACACGTAGTCTCGATTCCCTTGCTATCCCTGCAGTAAACACCGCCAACATTAGACTTTGGAACACTCCAGATATTATGAAGAGATCACTTGTGCCACTTTGCCCGGCCCGCAGTAGCTAAAAGCCTATTGTTCCAGATCAGTGGGGTTTCCTTCGGTAGCCCACGCTTGAACACGGAAGCATTAAGCTCGTCGAATAACGCCTGTGCATACGTAGCTAACTGCGCTCGCTTTTCTTCCTGCATCGCTTTCTTAGTCTTACGTTTCGCACGAGCTGGTGTTGCGGGCTCTGCCATCGTCGTTGGTATGCCAATAACAGAATCTCCTTCGACACCGTCTATCGCGACTCTTTTGCCACCAGGAGAGAAGAAATCGTGCAACTTGGTTTGCTTGTCTGGCGTGCCCTTCGGTCGAGGCAAGACAGGAGTTTGTACTGGCGACGGATCTGCTGTGATGGAAAGCCCACCACTCGGCGTTGCATGCACGAGTGGGGAAACAAGCGGTCGTTTCGCTTTCGCCTTTGAAGGACTGCCATCCCTCAGCACCGGTTTGCGCGAAGGCGGTGGATCGTTCATGACTAGTAGTGCACCGTCATCGTTGTCTTTGGCAGCCTTTCTATTATTAATATCAGCAATTGCAGCGTCAATGTCCGCTTCAAATTCATCTTCAGAATCTGTAATGACTGTTCGGCGCATCCAGGGAGATTTAACGTTCTTCGGAGCACTAAAGGATTGGTCATAGAACCAAACTCGAGCATCAATTTCAGGATACGCAATGCTCACTAGTGGGGTTGTCCGCCGGATTCAGACTCGCTATCAGTGTCAGTCTCCTGAACAACGAGCTCAGATGTGGACGCCGTATGCTTCTCTGGGGAGCTCAGGAATGGATCGGAATGTCGATTATCAAAGGCTTTCGGCACTGTCCTGACAGATCTAGGGTGCAAAACGAAAGTAAATGTCCATAGCCAAGTATCCGACATTGATGGCCCATACGTACGGTCCGGCGACTGGTCCGGCGTCATCTGAGTCCGATAATTCAATAATTTCTCCCTTGAACGAGCCCCTAACACCTCGCTTAATACCTTAAGAGAAGTATTTAAAGCTACTCATTGCGTACCGCGTTTTCTTCCTTCCTCCTTCATCGATATGTGGTAGGACTTCGACATCAACTTTGCTGGGCCTTTTACCTGGGCTATTGCTTTTTGTTGGCGAGCTAATTACAAGCGACGAAGTCCTGCCGAGTCCCTTTCCCGCATCATGGGACATGGCTGTTCGTTGTAGGTACAGATGTGCTGGCGATGTGTAAAGGAGAAGAGGCAAACTGTCCCTGCGCCTCGCAGCCTTTGTGCTTATAATAGGCGTGGTCAAACCTTGCGATTCTCTGTGCGATTCACCTTGCGATTCTAGAGGGTGAATCGCAAGGTGAATCGCGCGTGCAGGTTTGACCAGCACACTTGTACATGCGCGATTCACCTCAATATACTGACCCTTGATCTTAAAATTACATAATATAAAATTAAAGAAATAGTTTTTTTTCGTGCATATACATTTGGCCATGTCAAGAAGGACTTGATATGTGTGCAGTGATGTGCAAGAAGATGACAGAGCTTGGTAGCAGAGAACACAAGGATTTTTTGCAGAACAGAGGACAGTATGTATGCTGTAGTTCTCACAAGGAAGAGGCAAATCATCTTACTGTTTTTGGAATTTAGAGGTGAAAAGAAGCTTAGTTTTATTTTTGTAATACATGTACATATTTGGAATTAGATATGAGTAGAGGTGAATCGCGGGGGTGAATCGCAAGGCGAATCGCGTCAAAGTGCGATTCACCTTTCAGCGCGATTCACCCCGAATCGCTGGGGTTCCGGGGTCCGCGATTCACTTTGCATGAAAGTGAATCGCGCAGGTGAATCGCCCACTGAATCGCGAGGTTTGACCACGCCTAATATCGGCATTGACCTTGGCCTATGGCGTGGTATGTGTTCCGTGGGCGGAACCTTATTTGATATTTCAACATCGTTGAGACGCGCTTGTCACGCGTCTCGTCACACACTTACAGCGCGATAATTTATCAGAGTAATCTTGACTTTAACCGCTAGAAATACAAGTCATATTGATACAGTCATTATGTGGTCCCAGGAGGCACATTATTGCTGCCAGAGCCTGATGCTTCCCCATGTCCGCCGCCAGCTTCACCCAATTTGAATATCTGCTCCATCATGTCGAGTTGATCCTGGTTAGGTGGGCCATTATTATTAAAGAACGCCGAGTAATCAAATGCTGTTCCGTCACCACCTCCTTCGCTGGTGGAAGGGCCCGTTCTGGGTTGTGCATCCAGGTTCTTCTCTCCGGTACCGTGATTTCCGGCGTTGAGCGATGCAAAAAGTGCATCATCATGTGCTTGATGTTCTGATAGCAGTATACTCATGTCCATCCCAGACGTAGGGTCATTGGAGTCAGTTGCAGTTGGTGCGCTAGGAGCTTCCGGACCGAATAACTCGTCTACGTCTATGCTATCGGAAGGCCCGGATTGCTGAGCACCATTGCCACTCTGTTCTCCGAACAAATCAGAGTGAAGCTTCGTCATATCCGTCATATTCAGGTCAAGGTCAAGCTCGATAGGCTTGTCAACGGAGCTGCCTGCACTCGAGAAATCTATCCCTGTAGGAATTTGTAAGTCGTCGTCTACTGTCAAATCAATATCGACATGTTGGTTGGCATTTTGCATAGGCATGTTTTGACTGTCCATACCCGAGGCAGATGCAAGAGCAGCTAGAACCTCAGGCGGAATCTCTCCTGGAGCCATTGGCCGCGCAGATTTTGGTGCAAGAGTCACTGAACGAAATTATTGAGTGCTAGGCAGGGGAAGCAGGGGAAAGGAACAGAAGCATTTACCAGGTGAGGCGAGGCCAGTCATTCCAGTAACACCCATTGAGCCTAAGGAGCCGAGACCAGTCAAATCACCCAATGCAGACATATCCAAACCACCTTCGTCTGCACCTAAACGAAGAGAAGCGGATGAAAGGTCTAATCTCAGTGGGAAGGGATTTCGTTGGAGAGTTGAGAGTGAGATTTTCGACGGTCGCCGAGTGGTAATCCTCGTGGCAGTCGGTCGTGCCTCGGCGGATGCGAGGTGTTGCGTTTTATCGTCCGTCTCGGGTTGAGTTGCCATTTCGATATCGGCGTTGGCTGCCTCTGTCTCTGCAGCTTTCGCGCGTGCCTTTTCAGCCTCTTCCTCACGAATGCGAGTTTCTTCTCGTGTGAGATCACGCTGAAGTACTGCGATTGCACGTGTCTAAGGTCTCACAATTAATGACATAAATTGGCGTTGCCGTAGCACTTACGAGGTGGGCATCCAGAGTGTCGCAAATCTGATCATATGTCCCGAGTTCATGTTCAAGAGCGGAAGTCAAAGAGCGAGGTGGATGGGGAGCATGTTTCTGGATACCCCTGTTCGACATTATAGTTGTTATTCAGATTAACAGAAGGAGTGATGTGCACGCACATTCTCTTAGTGTCTGTATAGAACTTGAATACTTGTGCAGTAGTGACAGTTATGTTCTATTTATATTTATCATTTGAGTCCACACGTTTAAATGACTGCAGAATGGAAACTTGCCCACCTTCAAGCTCTCTTCCAAGGCACATACTTCGGGTTCTAGTATTGCCATGGCCTTTGGCGGAGGCGGAGGAGGTGGCATGGCATCTTTATCATCTTTCTTCATCTTCTCTTTGTCTTTACCCTTTCCCTTCTCCGTAACTGGGCTAGCTGTGGATGGCTTCCGTGCGTGTTGTGGACGTGCCACTGCAGGAGTAGTGCCTACGCCTTTCGGAGGCATTTTTTATAGTAAAGTTCGACTGTATGGCGATGATGAGAGTGATACAAGGCGGTCTCTGGCGGGAAGGCCAAGTGTCACTCGGTGTCTTGTGCAGCAATTACAGTTGCCTGTTACGGAAACAGCAGCCACTCTCACCACAGCGACGTCGGCTGAACAGCGGCCAGCTCGTCTAATGCCCTACACTCACGTCTCTCTAGTTCCTTGAAGATCATATATCCCATCAATCTTACTTTGGATAGGTCTTAGCCTCCCAAGTCAGCGGACAAATCTATTCTTCGACCCTTTAATTCAACGTTATACCTGATGGAAGCAGGTGCCGCACATGAGCACCCTGCTGCCCGGAATAATTTCCAACTCAATCGTGGCCGCCAGCGGAAACCGCGTGGAGAGCTAAAGAGCGCAAATCTCAACGAATTGGACAAGTGCGTGTCGAGTACCCAGTTATTGCCATTATGCTGAGTATGTCTGTTTGACGCAGACTCGTTTCACTTCAGACATCGCTCTGGGACGCACAAAGTGTATTGCAAGAGATCGTAGAGAACTGCAACCGTCTAATAGAAGAAGATTCCGGTTCTTTGCTTGTAAGTTTCTTGACGATTATGCGTATTGAAATGAGCTCAAGTAAAGATGTCAAGCGTCGACAGTCTTCGGAACTAGAGTACCGTCTTCGACATCTACAGGAACAACGTGAATCGCTTGATGACGACATACGACACGGTGAGCTGTATTTCTAATATTGTATCGTTTCCTGACATCTGTAGCTCCTATTCAGTTCAGGAACGTATAGCATCTCGGAAAGAGAAACTCCGTCAACGGCGAATGCGCTTGGCTGAAGCACGAGCATTGCATGAGGATGACTTACTCACGGAGTTCGATGCTGGTGTACAGTTAGCCGAAGAGAAGTAATCTACCTTTCATACGTTTCGTATACTCTCTTGTACTAAGTTGCGCTCCATTAGGAAGAGAGTCAAAGCCCTCAAAGGCGAGATTGAACCCGTTCGGACATCACTTCTCTCGACACTCGCATTCATTTTCCCTATTGAGCTTCTCTCACCTCCTGACCTCCTGTACACTATTCTCGGCGTCCCCTTACCTATTCCGATGCAGGGCTCTGATCCAGCGCCGCCATTGTCGCTTCCGCACGTGCCTGCAGTAAGCGAGGATGGCGTCGCAAGTGCATTAGGCTATGCAGCGCTCCTTGTACATTTGATGGCGGCATACCTCTGCCAACGCCTCTTATACCCTATTACTTACATCGGAAGTCGCAGTCTTGTGAAGGACCCTATATCCGCGATGATGGGTCCGCGGATGTGAGTAATATTTTCTTCCGTTCCCATATGCTTCGCTACCGTAATAACTGGCATTTGATCTACCTTTGGACGTTCCTTTTGCTACCCTAGGTTTCCGTTATATTCGAAAGGAGTAGACACGTACCGGTTTGAATACGCCGTATTTCTACTTAACAAGGACATTGAACTGGTGTGTGCAATTTCTTATTAACTATTCTCGGGGACGATGAGCTGACGGAAGCTCTATTCATGTGTTTTTCAAAAACTTGACTTCTGGCATCTGACCACTTCTATATTCTGTAGCTAATGGCCGATCGAAATCTACACGCCCTGGATCTCAGACACACATTACCCAACCTCAAAAACCTTTTACTCACGCTCACAAGCGGCGAGGGTGCATTACGGTGAGTTCTGAGCCCAAACACATCTCGCATCATCTTTCCTCCATATTGGTCTTTTCACACCTTTCCGCTTTTTCTTGCCTGAAACACTCGGTATCGCTTTTGCTTACGGCGGTTCCTTGACAAAATTCTTACCCACTCATTTTATTGGTGTTCCGTTTATACGACGCTGACACCTGCATATGCGCCGCTTCTTTCTCATTTACTCGATTACATACGTGTGCTTTCGCGGCATCGCCTGCTTGGACTGGCACCGTGCCTGCCTTGGTCCGACACGGCGACACACCTTCTTTCTTGTCGCTTGAACGGACCGGACCTATGAACTAAAATAATTGCCGGAACAACCGGAAAAAAGGTCGCGCGTTTTGACTTCGCCCTCGGTGGTGTCAATCACGCCAGGCTTACAATCTCCGAGCCCTTTCGCGGCCGAAGTAGCGGGGACCGAAGACTCGGAGCCTCCACCGTTAAATCTGGAAGGCGACGAGGCCGGCTGGAGTACGACGCCAAAAAGTCGGGCTGTTGGGCTACCTCCAATAAACGATAAGGTAGACAATCGAATTAATACCGATGGTGGAAACAGAGACGTTAATGGTGGTGCTACCATGAGATCAGCTGCGACGGAGGATACAAGCGACTTGTCTACCGCTTCTACGAACGAAGAAAGGTCGGGAACGTCAAGCACGGCAAGCACTCTGCGTCCACGCCTACCACGCATCCAGATCCAATCTTACCTTGGTCTTACACCACTTTCCGCGATGTGGCGCGGACGGGGAGCTTCATCATCTTCTGGAGCTTCTTCCAGCAAACAAGCTGGCTCGGGGGACATGGTTGATTCCTCTGAACCTTCCGCATCTCGTCCTGGCTCAGTAGGCGATGGCGTAGTCGCCAATGGTACTGGTACTGATACAGAGAGTACCTCAGAATGTGGGGAGGACGACGACGAAGAAGACGAAGACGACCGACAAACTGTGCGAGGTTCCTCGGTGCCTACGACGCCAGTTGCGGGAGACCGTTCACGACGCGAAAGTGTCGCTTCAGAGGGCTTGCTAGACAATTTGAAGGACCTAAAGTCACGATTACGAGGTGGGGGAAGTACAAACGTCTTACACCCTGAAGCTGAGAAGCGTTCGGACTCAGTAAACGGTAAGGATAGGGACGTTGTGGTCGATACTACATGCTAGTTTATCGCATTGGGAATTTATTAATGGAGATAAAAAAGGGAAAAAGAGCACTTTGACTAGGCGCCAGTCGTGCGTGAATCGAGGCACATGCGCATATAGCTAACCACCGTAACCCCGTGAGTCTAACTCCTAGCAACGGGAGCTGTGTCTTGTAATTGAAAAGAACGGAAGCAAGTGACATTGCTGCATGTATACTACTGTGCTGTATATGCACGTGCAAGTGGCCGCAACGCGGTGGGATTCTATTTCTAAGAAGATTGAGGCGTGCGACCGCGGTCGTCGGGAGCAGCGTTGCTACAGACGTTGAGCAGTTTTCTGATTTCTCTGATGGGCGTGTCCTACAACAATTACGCATTTGCAAGCATAACCAAATTGCTGAATATATTTGTGGCAAATTAGGGCACGCGGGAAAAAGGGGTGTAGTAAAAGAGAAACCTGAGAAAACTAAGTAAATAGTCTTTTGAATAGAGAGTTTGTTGTTGGCGTCGATGATACATGAGTTCTGATTTGTATGTACGTACAGACCAAGTTGGTGCTAGCGTAAGTAGGGGAGGATAGAAAAAAGAAAAAGAAATGTGATAACGTGAAGGAACTCGCTGATTTGCCTGCCGCGCTAGCCGACATACCGCCTCCGTCTTAAAGACGCGACTTTCCTTCCTCCAAGCTTCAGCTCTACCACCACTATCTCCTCAAGACAGTTTGTCCGGTACGTGCACCATCCCCCTCGCTCGACGTATTGCACCGTCGTCTCTCGTTGTTGTCGCTTTCCCTTACCCCGTCTCTGCAGAGCCCGCCGTTGTACCACCAGTTCTTATAGACAGGCAGAAAAAGTTTGGCATTTTCTGGTGAGCGCAGCCTTCCACCGCCACCGCTACAAACATCCGGCACCTTTTGCTCATTCGCTTGTGCGTCCAGGACCACCGTTGTGCAACTAGGTTATCTCTTTATATTCACCAGTTTTTACCCACAACTGCTTTTTTTTTTCTCTTCTCGTTCATCAACTTCACACCCGGCAAAGACTTTTTTCGTTGAATCGTATACCGCAAGTTTTACAATTATGAGCACCCCTATGGACAACTCAGCCTCCCCGGCCGATACCCGTACCAACGACGAGCGTAAGCAAAGTCCGCCTGCGTTCCTCGACTTGGCCGATTCGGTACGTGGAGTGATCAATCGCGTCGGCTATTAATGAACTGCGCGTTTGACACATCTCTTTTTCTTGCTTCCCCGACCTTCCTAGGCGGCTAGGTTGGGTACTAATATGCCCGACATCTCAGCAGTAAGTGCAATTTTTGTTGCGAGCTTTGTGCCTGTAAATGTAACTGACCCTGAAAATTTGAAGCGTGTCGAGCTAAAACGCATGGAACACGAACGCCAGCGTGCCATCCAGCGAAAAGTGTTCGAGGAGCAAATGCGTGCTCTTGAACAGCAGCAACAACAGGAACTGTTGTCCCTTCCTGTGGACAGTTCGCAGAGCCTGCAACACCTTGCTGCTTCGGCGCCGACAACGCCGCCGCGTGTCAATTCGACCCTTGTTGGGAGTGAACACTCTCCACTGGCCATAATGCACGGTCGTTTGATGGATCCTGCAGCTCTCACGAGTGCTGTCGGCTCAGGCATTGGCATCGACAAGCGCAAATCTGTTGCGTACGCAGATGGTACTCAACTTGGTTATGGTCTTGGCACGGAAGCGAATGGTTCGGCGTATTCGCGAGCTGGTGCGAAGTCCATGCCTGCAAGCCGCCGCACGTCTGCAAGCGAACACGATGAAGATCTTGCGAATCAGTTGCAGGGATTGTCCGTTCATGATGGAAACTCCAATGGAAATGCATCCCCGCTGAGAGCAGCTCCTCAGGCGATGAGCAGGGTTAATGTGAATGGGTTGGGTTTTTCAGGAGTCAATGAAGGTCTACGTCTTGGCGGGAATGGCAGCGGTTACAATGCCGGAATGCTGCTCGACGAGCAGCTCGATAAAGAGATGCAGAGTGCGTATTCTTCTATATATGTTCTGTTGCGTCGTCGGGGGGAAAAAGGAGACTTATTTGCTTATTTCTTTATGTATTTGTAGATGCAATGAGGCATTTGCCTATCCCTGATGACGACAAGTACGCTGTGTTGAAAGGAGACTCTGGTAATAAGGTACAAGGTTTAATTAATTAGATTGACTAATTCACTAACTCTATCATGCACCAGCTTTCGTCGTCTTCGGCCGCGTTAGATCTTGCGCCATTGTCACAGAAGTCTTCAGAATGGCCACAGTTTGCCCGCAGTCAGGAAAACGGAGCTGCTCGCAGCGATCGGCGTACAGGTACTCCCCAGCTTGGAGGTGGCCTCCAGGCCAACCTGAATGATTTACAGCACAAGCTCGGCTCAGCGGTTTCTGCCAGTGCTACTCCTCTCTTGCAGAATACTCCTGGTGTGTCGCGACGTGCCTCGCCTCTCAACATCGGTGGTCTTTCGTTACGTACGGATGTCTCGCAGTTTGAAAGGGCGCCCGGTGGACCCGGTACACCTCAATCAAGCTCTGAAGCTCAGATGCTCGGCGCGCGGATGTCTGCGGCTGGGCTCGATGCGCCGGCAAGTGCAGGAGAAGCGACGTCTGCAACGTCACTGAGTCGCATCTCGCCATCACGATACGACAGTCCGCTGACGTTTGGCACGCCTCAAAGTCTCGATAACTCCCTCCAAAGTCAATATGATGTCGATTCTATTTATCTAAACCAGGATGGCCGCTTGAACGGTTACGGTCTGGATGGGAATAGCCGCCTTAATGGCTCAGGTACTACGGGTGGATCGACTGCTCTGTACCACCACCATGGTTCCCGATACGGCCTGGCGATGGGTGCTCGGATGGGCGGATCTGACAACAAGATGAACGGTCTTCACGGTCCCAAGCATAAGCGAGGTGATATTGACCGTAAGCATTTATTCTTAAACTTTCGCGAGGATGTTACTAATTAACTGTATCCTCGGGGTTAACGTATTCATAGTCAACCGCTTCGCCGGGACACGTCTAGAGGACCTTCAAGGCGAAATCGCCAGTCTCTGCAAGGATCAGCACGGGTGCCGTTATTTGCAAAAGAAGCTTGAAGAAGGCAACGCGGAACATCGTGATATGATTTTCCGTGAGACGTTCGGTCATTTTGCGGAACTTATGACGGGTAAACATTCTACTTCATTAATAATAACAACCAAGACTCACCAGATTCACAAAGATCCATTCGGAAACTACCTCTGTCAAAAGCTTCTTGAATATTCAACTGACGACCAACGCAACGTGATTTGTGAATCTGTTGCCCAGGACTTGGTGAACATCTCGCTCAACATGCATGGCACGCGTGCGGTGCAGAAGATGATCGATTTTCTCTCTACACAGCGTCAGGCAAGTACTAAGTCAACTCCCCTCCCTTTATATGCTTACGCGTAGGCGGAAGCAGGCTGATCTTAGATACAATGCTCAGATCCACTCTATCATTGTTGCGTTAAGCCTACACGTCGTAGTGCTCATCAAGGACCTCAACGGAAACCACGTTATTCAAAAGTGCCTCAACAAGTTGACACCCGAGGATAATCAAGTATGTCTTGATTAAAGTGTGGACGTCAATTGTATCTGATCTGATAAACGTAAACTTTAGTTTATCTACAATGCGGTTGCTGCGAACTGCGTCGAAGTCGCGACTCATCGTCACGGTTGCTGCGTACTTCAGAGGTGCATTGACCACGCGTCAGATCACCAAAGAATACAGCTCGTAAACGAGATCACGTACAACGCACTGACGCTGGTCCAGGATCCCTACGGCAACTATGTAAGTTCATAAATAAATACATCATGTACAACACATTAACAACAATTATACAAGGTTGTACAATACATTCTCGATCTGAATGACAATCGCTTCAGTGATGCTGTCATCCGTCAATTCACGGGTAACGTCTGCGCCCTCTCCGTTCAGAAGTTCAGCTCCAATGTCATCGAGAAATGTATCCGTGTGGCGGAACACAACACACGTAAAATGCTCATTGAAGAACTTCTTAACCGTACACGTCTCGAGAAGCTACTACGCGATTCGTTCGGGAATTACTGCGTGCAAACCGCACTCGACTATGCGGAATCTGGGCAACGTGCACTACTTGTCGAAGGCATCCGCCCCATTCTCCCATTGATTCGTAACACGCCGTACGGGAAGCGCATCCAGTCGAAGCTTCAGCGTGAACAGATGGAGCTTGCGAATGCTAACGGAATGGGTCATTACAACGGGCAATTCAACCAGCAAGCGATGATGAACATGGCGCTTGCAAATCAAGGCCTGACCGGACAAACCCACCCTGGCATTGCCGCTCGGGGCCCAATGGCTGGTTCTATGCATCCTTCGAACCAGCTCGGAGACGTCTATGGTAATCGTTCAACGATTTACGGTGTCGGACAGAACGGCGCTGCTGCGAGTGGCCTCCACAACCAGCAGACGCCTTTGCACCTTCAGCAACCAATGCATTCTCTCCAGACACAAGCACTTGATGGATACGTCCTACAAGGCAGTGGTACTGGCCATTCCCATGGTCTGAGCTCTGGCACAAACGGGCTACCCCCTGGCAGCACTTTCATTCCTCAAATGCCCTTGACATACCAAGGTATCCATATCTCTGCAGGTCTCAATGACCCTTATCAACGCACGTCTTACGGCTATAACGTGTGATATCCTATGCAACTTCGACTCGAACGCACATATATATTGCTCCACTTGCGGGAGCAGGTCGGATCTGCATCAAAGACGAGCTTTCTTCCGGCAGATTGCCCGTCGATCTTACCTCGCGGGTCCGATAATACCACTTTCCCAACTGATCTCCCCCAAAACATATCTAAACCTGCTATCGTAACGTCGTTAAACCCTGGTTTTTTAATGTTTGTTTTACTGTGACTCGCTTTTTACTTTCTTCACCTTCGGTCGCCCATATTGCCTCGCTAGTCTGCCATCAACAGTGCTTGAACGTACCCTCATCGCATACTGTATTTCTCCGCATTTACTTCCCGCTTCCCCATTGCTCTTCCTTGCTAACATGTTGGACTACTTGTTCTTATTCCCCATTGGCCGTTCCCGTTCTTGATTGCCGCGTGTATAGCACAATACTCGGTTCTCCATTATTATCGGTCCACCAATTGTTTAATAGCGCACACGCTTAACTGTCAACTGTGTATTTACCATCACCCATTGGCTGCTTCTTCACACTGTTACTTACTTGGCTTGCTTTCATCTCTGTTTGTTTTTTTTTCCTTTTTTCTTTCATGTTGTGGAAACATAAAGTGATGAAAATTATATAGTTAGTTGACTTACCCCCTTCATACCCACGGGTCCGAATCCAAATTTAGAATATTATGACGCGGGTGAGACTTTGTGCGGGGTTTGCAATTTAGGGGTTTAATTGCCAACCGTGCTGTCCTCTTGAGCCCACCGTTTAGTCATTACCACCATGATACCCTCGCAGGATGACCTAAAGTCCTTGCCTATCTTCGCGCCATTGTTCGCCGCGGTTGCGGCACCAATGAGTACTTTAATGGATATTCCGTCACTGACGTAAGAAGCTTTGCGGATCTGCCCTAATTTAGCACTAAAACCTTCTGCGTTCTTAGTGAACCTTGGTTCTTCCAGCACGAGGCATACGGCGATAGTACAAAGTTACCTGATCCACGAGCTAATATTGTATTAAGTGCTGTTGGGCTTGCATTTAACGTCCTCGCTAATGCACTCCTCATCCTTCGATTCTCCGTGCGCGAGGGTCGTTGGAGATATACCACGCGGGTGAGCTTAATATGTTGGGTAGTGAAGGTATGTAGTGGCTACCTCCTTTCTCAGAATGTTTTACTTTTAAACAATGCTAATATTATATACAACCATAGTTTGGAATTGCCTTGGGGAACGTCCTCGCCTATGGAATCCTGTCCCGAAACACGCCCGACGTAGGTTACGGAGAGGGGTTCTGGTGCGCGTATGTATTGTTATATTAAATTTCTCTGCTGCGTGTATTAATTTTGTTCTGCAGAGTAATGTCGTTGCTGATTGTGACGGGCATTGTTGTACTGCTTCTCTCACATTATTATTTACACATACGTGGAAAGAGGGAGCAGCGAGTACCACTAGAGACCCAAATGAGCTTACGCATCGCCGGGAGGCACTTTATGCTCCAAAATACGCTTTTCGTAACAACCATTGGTTTGCTTGCGTTGGTTATGTCGAGAGTAGTAAGCACTCAGTCTTGCGTGAAATTAATATGGTATGAACAAATGGTTGTAGGAACATTGGACCTACCTTCAAGGGATTTACTTCTCGGTCGTTACGTTCCTGACAGTAGGCTTCGGCGACTTCTATCCAACGAAGACATCAACGCAGATCGTGCTATTCCCATTCGCCCTTGTTGGTATCGTGCAGCTCGCGTGTCTCGTTGACCTTCTTGTTCGCTTCTTCCACGGACGTCTTGCTGCTCGCCATGCGGAAAGACGACGTGAGTTCGAGAAGCGGCGACAGGAAGAAGAGAATAAACTTGAGAAGGAACCAAGTCTTGAACGGGAGATGGAATTTTTGAATAAGTTATATAATGAAGCGGATAGATGGAGGACTGTACAAGACCTTGCAGCTAACATTACTGGGTTTCTCGCTTTCTGGCTCGTAGGCGCCATAATCTTTTCGCAAATTGAGGTGGGCAGTAAACTGTTTATTTTTACACTGTTTGTATTGACGGTTTCTGATGCAAATCAGGGTTGGACATACGGGCAAGGATTATATTTCTGTTACGTCTTTTTCTTAACAATTGGCTATGGTGATTTTACGCCGACACTTCCTGCGAGCAGAGGTTCGTTCAATTTACGAAATCAACTAAGCGGACTACTAACAATATGTTTTAGTCGTATTTGTGGTATACTCCGTCGTCGCAGTGCCAGTCATGGCTTCCTTTGCAGTGCAAACCATACAGAACGTATTTCAGAAATTCTCCGTCGACCTTCTCCAACGGAACGAGGCGAAGGCGGGCGTCAGGACTGGCGGCACTGAAGACCGTGCACTAGGAGCGACCGAGAAAACTGCGAATGTCGTCGATGAAGAGAAAGGGTTGCCAAAGGACGTGGGCGATAGGATTCAGAAGAACGATAATGCATGGAGGCATAAGAAGACGCATGCAGATTACATCGTAGCTGGACATGATCGGATTGATTCTTGGTTTTCAAAGCATGAATCCGAGAAGAGGGATGAGGATCTTGATAAGGCTGCTGAAGAGGATGCTGGAGAACGTGAAGTGGAACGTAAGCACGATGAGGACCGCATATTGACAGAATACGTCTTGGAATTGGCCATCGAGCTCGAGAAGCACGCACGTAGGCTATTAATGGGACATTTGGACGAAGGGAGCGATGCACGTATGCTACTCAAGGCAGATCGCATTGTTCAACTCCGTAACATCAGGACTTTGGCGGACCAAATGCACTCAGACTGGGATGCTTCTGGAGGAGCAGACGAAGCTGGTGGTGATGGGTCGTCAAAATCTGCACTCAAGGAAGGCAAGGGGAAGGGAAGATTAAATACAATGATGCAGAAGTACTATGAAGAAGAGTCGGATCTTCTCCCGTTTTCCATTGATCTGGATGACCGAGAGACGCTAGAGGAGATCGCACGCTATCGTGAGACATTCGCTGGTTTGCTCGCTGCAGGAAGCCGACTCTTGCGGTTAAAGGATGAAGAACAGTTTTTGTTTGAGAGACGGTTTTGGAGAGGGAATGAAACTGGATAGCATACTATGTCAAACTCTCACGTATTATTGAGGATTTTGTACCAATCATTTCATATGAGTGTGCTCCATGGTGGTTGCGTGACACTGCTGACAGTGGTGAGTTATATATTGCATTTGCATGGAATAGAGAAACTATCTACAAAAAGTCATGAAGACGGAAAAAACAGAATAAAGCGTATTTCCAATAGCCCACCGCGAGGGTCGAACTCGCAGCCTTCAGATTCCACCTTTTAGGACTCTCCAAGTAAGAGTCTGACGCTCTATCCGATTGAGCTAGGCGGGCAACGAAGCATATTAACCTCTGTATTTACTCAATCCGAAAGCAGAAATAAATGGTGTATTACTTAAATTACATTAATGTACAGTGCAGTATTTACAGTGATATTCCATGCTGCCCTTCCATGGGACATTGCGTGCAGGTGCATTGTGGCTCTTGTTCCTGGGCGGTAAGATCGACCTCTCAAGTGGAGGCACTTCTCTTGTTGCTACATGACTTATCTAAATTTCTGTCAACAGTTGAATCATGAGGTTTCTTCCGTCCGATAGTATGTTGATGATATTGGATTACTTCGTAATTATTGAATACATGGAACCGTCGCATGGAATAATAGATACTTTCGGGAACCCAACACCCTGGCTTTCTCATTTCAAGCTCGACTTACGCCGGATACGTTCTTTGTTCAAGGGCCAAAAGGAACCAACGGAGGGAAGTAAAGAAACACATTTCACATGTCGCTCATGCGATACTAGCTTGGATTTGAGACCAGGAATCATAAATTGCGCATGTCTCTGCATACAATTGAGGTAGTAAAGTATGAAGTGAGGTGGACGACTATGAAGAAGCAGAAAAGCTACGAGATGCGTTAAAAGCTCGAAACAATCACCGGTTCTAATGGAAGAGAATAAATCGCACTGCGAACGAATAATACAGAAAGAATAATCGTACCTTAACGAAACCGATGGCAGACGACTTCTCGCGGAAGCATTGGCGGCAGAGATCGAGACCGTATTTACGGATAAGACCGGCTTGATGAGCGCAAAGGCGGCTACAATGTGCGAAGAAATTAGTATCTCTCCGGCAAGCACGTATCCCCCTCCCTGGTGAAAACATAGGGAAACTAGAAGTAACTTACCATTGACGGCTACCCTTGCCAAACTTGCGTGGACGAGAGAACCAGACAGCGTCGTGTGTCATTTTGTGATTTTTCTTGTTCCTTTAAAATAAAAGTTACAGAGTCAGAGGAGAGCATTGACTGGATGAAAGACTTTACTTACTGAGCTACGTTGCAAGAGCGGCGGCAGCAGCGACGAAGTCGATATTCGATTCGGAGTCTTACTTGCGAGTGTGGCGAGTTCGCTAAGGCTATGTCATGTGACTGGTGCTGTACAGTTACGAATCGCCGCGACGACTTTACTAACATGTATGCATAAATATTAATCCTTCCTTAGATATTACATGCACGAAGAGTCAAGCGCTACAATGAATCCTCTACCCGACAAGATTCGTGACATATATGTAATACAAAAATGCTTTTCATGGATCTTATTCCACTACCTGCTCAAACAAATATAGGAAGACCAACAAACATAAATAAGTGAGCGGACAATGTCAAACCCGCTGTCAAAGTTGATACAATATCACCCATGATTATGCTGGGTACCATATATCAACAGACTTGGATTGCTCTGAGAAAAACACCAAAGCGCCACTGTAGTGTTCCATCGACACTCCGACGCTACTAGGTCGTGCAACGCCTTTGTAGTAATCCAAAATTTCAGGCGGCAGGTCCGCGAGAAATAGCTCACCATCTTTATCTACCCCAACCTTCATCACTATCTTCTCTTCTTCTACTGGCCCATAACATTGAGCAGTAAGCTGTGACTGCGGTATCGAGTAGACTAGTAGGCCAGATCTGGTTTGCGATGGCCCAGTTACAATGTACAAAGCGTTTGGGACTGCTTTAGTGGTGTGAGAAATTGATCTCAAACGCGCGGTGCTGTAGGCATCGGGTTCATATGAAAATTCGTATGCAAGAAGCTTCGACAAATCCGCTGGCAGCTCCCTTTGCATCGTAACGAGGGATATTAAGACACGCTTTCGGCGACCAGTCCAAGGGAGATCCGTCACATTTGGACGCAAGACAATGCCGATGGGTACTTGAAATTTGAGTGAACAAGTGTCCAGTTGGTCAATGTGGATTTCCGCAGGATTCTTTGCGGCGTTCCGAACGGAGTCGATTTGCTCAAGTTGAAATGCAGTCAAAGTACATATTTGACCTGTGGATGTTAAAACCATCTCGCAAAAGAACATCGTGTTTTGCAGCAATGAGCACTGAAAGCCGGCTCCAGGGCTACTCTGTTCAACGAACACTGTTATATCATATTGCGTATACTAAAAGACGGTACGCACACATTGTATTTCTGTTGACCAGCGTTGCCTCCAATTTATTACCGTGAAAGTGGTTCCATGCTGGGTCACCGCATAATCTGCCCATACGAGGGGAGCAAGAGCAAAGAATGGTGCAGTCTTATGAACGTAAACACGCTCCGACTCGAAAGTTCCTGGTCTATGAACCGACGGGATTAATCGGTGTACCTCCAACCAACTGCAGTGTTACATTCAGCTTTTATATTGGATTTAAATTACTTGAGCCTCACTGTACCCACGTTTGCGTATTTTCACGCTCGTAATTGCCCGTTAATACCGTGATTGTACGGTCTTGGTAGACTTCGAAGGCATAATTCAAATTTATGAAGTCAAGACGAGATTTCAGGGCCATGATATTGTTAGGCCGGTAAGTCCAGACACAGGAGCTGTTGCATTCCAGGTCATATATTTGAATGACGTCTTCAGACCACATCAAAAAAAGGTAGCGTCCTCCAGGTGCGAGTGTAGCACTTGAAGTGCCTAGTCTCGATCTAAGACTTCCGAACGTGCCTTGTGGGTTGTTAGGGACAACGCTTGCCTTGAGATAGTAGCGTGCCGCTCCCGACAGTGTCTGATGATAAACGCGGACAGCGTTGACGACTAGAGTTCTCAGTTCAGAACTGGACAATTCGGAGACGTCTACATGAGGCGGGAGGTCGGGAGCGCAAGCTAGGTCGAGACGCTGGAACAGGCTGATCCATAAATGACGTGCCGTAGCTAGTTCTTGTAGCTTCTTGCACGTCTATAACAGTTATCTTAACGCCGTGCATATCCGTTGGGAAGAAAACTAGGTATTGTTCACATACCTGCTCCAGCGACAAAACATCCCTCACATCTAATGAACAAACGATTGCAAGCAGAATGTCTGGAGGAATATCAAGTAGTCCTTTCGGGCCCATGTAGAAATCTATTCATTAGCTTGGTATTCAGGCACGAAACTGCGGGCTAGATGTCCGGCCAAGTGTGTTGCCTTTAGGGAACGTTGATGACCTGCGGTAACTAGGTGAACCAGAAAAGGATATGTCGATCAGTGGCGATGCCTGCCTTGCCCATTTTGGCGGTAACAATAACATGCATTCGAAGCCGAGTGCATGAGGCACAAAATTTAATATCTGTTCGCTGGTCGTACCCTTCCACCGCATCAAGTTAGCTTTGCTCTTGTCTTTTGTTATTCCATGTCTCGTATCAACGAGCATGCAGACTATTCTCCAGGTTCTACAGTCGAACAAATGTTGGGCTCGCAACTTGGCGCACTCTTCTTGGTTTGAATCAGGTCTGTGAAACGCGCAAGGCATGACCTGGAAGTACAACACTACGAGGTGCATTTTAGTCCCGTGATTGCCTTTTGTTGATGTCCTTGATCCGGTCTAGTCGATCTTGTTGGCGATCTCATGTCTTATTGTCTTTTGTCTTATCATGTTTAGAGTAGCACCGAAGTGCTCCATTTCACCGCCCAGCGAACCTCCATGATTCCATATTATCTTCCGTATATTCATTTCAGCTGACTCCCGCACAACATGTAAAGGAGCGCTGTCTGGTTCTACCTGGACCGCCCCTTCGTTTGCTACCCTCTACCTTCCCGTGTTTCTTCCGGGCTCACCACGACATCTTTGAACATGGAAAGTAAAGAGGAAGTTCCTCCTTACAATGTGCCTGCCCTACGACAAAGACACGGACGCTCACATGCAGACGTTCCCGAGGATGTTGCTGTTGCACTACTACATTTGAACGACCCCAACTGGGACTTCTCCGGGTCGGATACAGCATCTTTCGAGACGAGTAGTTTCATCTTTGACGAGGAACCTCAGAGCCCACCGCCGAAGTTCTCAGGCAGTTTCGACATACCTCGAAGATCAAAAGAAGGACTATCTGACTATGATACTGAGTCTCAAGTTAGTTCGGGATTACATTTTCAGTCGGCTGAGGCGGTTGAGTATGAGGAGTAAGTCTGATCCCATTCAAATACAGGCGTACGTTAAACTTTGATCAACTATAGTGAGTCCCCGTACGCAGAAGTCCGAGCAGCAGTCTCGAATACGGACGATCCAAATATGCCCGTCAATACGTTTCGCATGTGGTTTCTTGGTATACTGATCACGTTGATCATTTCTGCCGTCAACCAGTTCTTCTCCATGCGATGTTTGTGTTCATTCCAATATTTGTTACTATAAACTAACTGATGAAACGCCATAGACCCGTCTGTTTATGTGTCTGGCATCGTCGCGCAGCTTATAGCACTTCCCTGTGGAAAATTTCTGGAGCGGGCCCTCCCTACAACCCGATTTACTACGTTCGGATACACTTGGACACTAAATCCAGGCCCCTTCAATATCAAGGAACATACGCTTATCACCGTCATGGCCAACGTTGTAGCAAGTGGCGCGTATGCGACCGATGTCGTTGCGACACAGCGAATTCATTTTCACCAGAATTGGGGACCGGGATACCAGCTTGTGCTTTGCTTCTCGTCTCAGATTCTCGGGTTCGCATTCGCAGGAATCGTCCGCCAGTTCTTGGTCTGGCCATCAGCGATGATCTATCCAGGCGTTTTAGTAAATTGCGCTCTTTTCAACACTCTGCACGGTAGCTACGGAAAGCGAGAAGGAAGGCATATGAGTCGCCAACGATTCTTTTTGTATGCGATGATAGGTAGCTTCATCTGGTATTGGTTCCCCGGATACATCTTTACTGCGCTCTCGGTCTTCAACTGGGTGTGCTGGATTGCTCCAAACAATGTGGTCATCAACCAATTGTTTGGATACCAGTCAGGATTGGGAATGGGCTTCCTGACCTTCGATTGGAGTATGATCTCGTACATTGGAAGTCCGCTTGTCATTCCAGTTCGTTTTGTTTGCTTTTCCGTATTTTACGAGTTCGACTGACTGTTCCGCTATGCAGTGGTGGGCTCAGGTCAACACTATCGTGGCGTTTGTTATTGTAGCGTGGATAATAGCACCTATCATCTACTGTACGCTGTTTCTCTTCTGTCAGCGATCAAAATATATTTACCATGACATTCAGATAAGAACGCGTTCTATGCCAAGTACCTTCCAATGTCTGCGGCGACGACATTCGACAATACTGGCATGCAATATGATGCCAGCGCTGTGATTCAGGATGGGACCTTCAATCTGGATCTGTACAAGGCCTATTCGCCGTTATTCATGCCAGTCACGTTCATCTTATCTTACGGGGTGACATTCGCATCGTTCACATCCGTCGTTGTCCACACTTATCGTCAGTGCTTGCAAGCTTTTGTTCAAGGGATTTTTAACTAACGTCCTCTTCAATTTCGCGCAGTGTGGTATCGGCGCGATATTGCAACTCAAGTTCGTAAATCGTTGAAAGACAATCGTGATGTTCACAGTCGCCTTATGGCAATTTATCCGGAAGTCCCGCATACGTGGTATGCCCTCCTTGGACTTGTCGCATTTGGCTTGGCAATCGCTGCAGTTCGTGTATGGGATACGAAACTCCCTGTCTGGGGTCTCATCGTAGCACTTCTTCTCGCCATAACCTTTATCGTACCCGCTGGAATCATTCGTGCAATAACGAACCAGACGGTGGCATTGCAGGTGCTGGCTGAGCTCATTGTTGGCTATGTCCTTCCTGGTCGTCCGATCGCAATGATGATCTTCAAGACCTTCTCGTTTATGACTATGCACCAGGCGCTTAATTTTGTCTCGGATTTGAAGCTCGGGCACTATATGAAGGTACCTCCACGTCTCATGTTCTTGGCACAAGTCATAGCAACAACAGAATGTGTGGTTGTCGTCGTATTTGTCCAGCAGTGGATGTTTGCAAATATCCCTGACATGTGCACGGAAAACCAAAAACACATGTTCACTTGTCCGAGTACTTCGACTTTCGCTTCTGCAGCGATCATCTGGGGCGGAATTGGACCGGCTCGCTTGTTTAGTCCGGGAGGCCTCTATTATCCTCTCGTTTACTTCTTCCTCATCGGCGCTCTCCTCCCGATACCATTCTACTACTTCGCAAAGCGTTACCCGCTCTCATTCTGGCGTTATGTGAACATACCCGTCATGTTGTCCTCTCTTGGGGTGATGCCACCAGCGACTGGAATTAACTTTTCGTCCTGGTTCATGTTCGGGGCATTCTTTCAGTATTTCATGCGTCGTTGTCATTTCCGAGTAAGTCTTGCTCACTTTTTCATGACCCTAGTTTGCAAATGTGCTCAACTGGTTTATTCTTTTTAGTGGTGGTTGCGCTTCAACTACATTCTATCCGCGGCTCTCGACTCTGGTGTAGCCATAGCGCTTATTATTATTTTCTTCGCTCTACAATTTCCGAAAGGTGGTATCGAACTGAATTGGTGGGGAAACACCGTATGGACCAACACCGATGACTACAACGGCACGCCGTACATCACGCTGCAAGAGGGACAGACGTTTGGGCCAACGACCTGGTCATGAGCATTACGAGTTGAACGATTATTTTATGACGATACACCTTTTGCAAAGTTATATCATTGGCACGTTTCAGATGCACCTTCATTCACGATCGCAAGTTCCTTCCTTCACAACTATTTTGCTAGCCTGACATGGTTGGCCTGTATTTATCGTCTTCGAATTTCCTAGGGTAGATATTTACTAGGCTTGTGCGAGCCGACGATTTTGCTTAAAAATACTATTCAATGTACTATGTAGATTAGAGATCATGGCAACTGAGAGTCAATTTATAAATGCCGCGTATTCAATGTACCAAACGCTGCAGAAGCATATGACGTACAAAACAGGACGCGTCGCGCTCACGGGATGGGAACACAATAATCTCACGTGCACGCGAGGTGATTATTGGCACGTCTCTGCGTGTCCAAACAACATAACACCTTGTCTTCTACCACATCCTCTCATCATCGGCTCGTATGGGCACCCCAGGTTCAGACGTCTCCCGTAAGTAGTTCAATGTCCGCGCTAAAGACTCTTTTAGTGACTTACTCTTTGGTTGTACGGTCCAGTGCGAGTTCTATACACCGTCAACACCTCACCACAGTACATACTCGCGAAAGCGCCTCATGGGATCGCTTTCGTACCCACTCATAGTACATCGTCTCCCATCTCTCCACCTAAACATGGCCGTGCTTCAATCAAAACTTGTGCATTGGCGATATGTCGGTCGAGGTAATTTATATTTGTATCACCATTAGCCACTCGGATTTGACACGGTGTTTTCTCACATAGCCCTGAACTCAGACCAGACGCAACGAAGGACTTCTCAGTCTACGTCCTTGATCCACTGGAAGACGTTGCTTCGAATAGTCGGCTTCGTCAAGCCGGAGGAGTAGCAGTAGGAATGGGCCTACTTTCTGGAATTCTATCTCCCTACATGCCAGACACTACTATGGTAAATGGTACATTCGTTGCTTGCGGCCAAACAGAGGATGCTCTTGAAGTCGTTATGTCTCTGAGACAGGTATGAGCTGTGCTTGATTATTCTGTACGAAAGCTAATCTCTGTCCAGGTGACCCCATCTGTCATTCATGGTCACGGAGTGAATGAGCAGTCTCAAATTGCCTCGAGCGGACCAAAGGGCAAATCTGCGCTAAAACGCTCGCTGAGTGAACAACCTTATTTAACATCGAATCCACTGTCTCTCCCTTCCTTGGACGAGCGCATCTTCGCCTCCTATACCCAGCCCAACCAGTGCGAGCAGCAAGCCACCAGACCTAAAGAACTGCGAAAGCCCAATCCAGCCCATGCGACACGTGCGCATCAACTTCCGACTCCGTATATTGGTCCACCAAAACGGAAGTATGTGAGGGAATCGGAGCGAAGTAAGGAGCAAATGACAGAGAGCTCATTAGGAAAAGGCGATTTGTCTGAGTTGTCGGACATGCAAAATAGTGTGACTTGCGAAGGAGCGAATAACGGCGGTACTGCAGAGCCCACTAGCTCCCAAACATCGACCTGTCCGGATGTCGGACGTCCAGCACCCTTTGTTCAACCATGCACCTCAAATGGGACTCCGGATATGTCTGAGGCCGCCGTAATGTTGGCGGCTTTATCAGCTGTGTCTTCTGGAGCCCCCGGTTCAGCAGGAAATTCCACTATTCAGGGAAACGGACAGCCTAATCCCGAACTGGTGTCTTTCCTTCGCATCTACCTTGCACTTTTGGAATCCCAACAACAGCAGGCAGAAAGTAATGCCGAACCGGAATGCACATCCAGCACGAGCCAACAACCTATGTTGCCATCGCGATCTCCTATGGCTGTTGAAGCTACCAGTTCACATTCGATGATGCCTCCGAGTGCGCAAAATAAGTCTGTTGACAAGGAAAATCAAAAGCCGAACCCCGCTCAAGAGGCTTTGAAGAATGAGAAGACCAAATGTCCCATTAATACGTCGCCATTGGGTGGGGCTCGGTTCAATGCAAGGACGTCAGAAGCTCAGCTATCAACTGCGGAGAACCTCGAACAGCCAACCCCGCTCATCACTAATACGGCAATGGCCACGGCACAGCAGGAGGGCGAGCGCCCTCGGAAAAGGAAATTAAGCAATGCTTTGTCTGAGGATCAGAGTTCGCAAACCAGGCGAAGGTCGCCGAGCACTTCAAAGAGTTCGCCAGCAGTTGACAATCTCAACGGTATTCGCGTTAACACGGGTTGGGGAGGGCTACGTGTAATGTCGGACGGAAGTATGTGGGGTGAGCATCCTCCTCGATCGGCTTTATCCGCTGCTCCCTCCGCTTCATCTTCTGGACCCAAAGAGCAACCGTTCGTCTTCCGCTCATCAGCGAAAGTCGTCCCAACTGCTCCTATCCGAAAAGGGCCATACATTGTCCCTGACTGGGCGAAGGGGGTGCCGCCACCATCTCCTCCACATAGACCAGAATCGTCGGTCGAGGATAGGAAAAAGGCAAAGAAACAGAGCAAAGCAAAAGGGTTGGGGCGACTTGGAGGTAGGTCCTCTGTTAAACGGGTGCCTAGCACAACTAAGGCGCCCGACGCTCCTACGACGCCTCCACGGAACACACAGGAAGGGCATTCAGCTTCAGCGAACCTATGTACTTCCCCAAAACGGACCCCGGAAAAACGTCCTATATTCGCATATTCATCTCCTGTTGGTAAATCCGCAGTTTCGACGTTATTTCAAGCCATCCAGACCTCCCCATGTCGACCAACCTCTACCCGTAAAACAATATACTCGACTCCGGCCAGGCAAACCAACTTGTTTCCAAGCGGTTCCGCTCATCAATCCTCTCTGTTTACTCCTTCGCCTCTTACTGCGAGGGACCCAGCATCCGTTTCAAGACACGGTGACTTATTCACAGGAGAAGAACCTCCTCCTTCTCCGACACCAACGAAGAGACGTCCTGCAAATTCAGAGGTCCTAACGAGTCGTCAGGATCTATTAACACCTGGAAGCTCAGAACCTGTCTCTATTTCCCAAGGGGAAGGTACTGATCCTCCGAGTTCGCTTCCCGTCGCGAGCAGTGATGACATTTTGGACGACAACTCTCTTCAAGCGCCTTCGATGTCCTCCGATTCGACTATTGCGAATCCGAATAAAATACACGATTGGTCCTTTCTGGATCTACCACCGTCATCTCCTCCACTACCGTCCAGCCCCTCTCTCCTGCCTATGGAAGGTAGTGACTTGCCCTGCTTTGACATTCCTTCTGATTTATCGGAAGTCGAATCGCCTTCGGTGATCGCTTTCGACATTGATAACTCGGAACACCCTTCGCACGAACATCAGGTCGAGATGCGGAATTCTGATACCATTGCAAGTGATCTTGTCTTCAGTCCGAGCCTCGTCAGCTCAAATGAGGGCATGTCGGAAGCGTTCGGAGTTCATGATGATGCTCTTTTTTACATGACTGGAGAAGAGGGACCTGTTACTGCCGCGGTTGAAGCGCTCGACAATGGCTTAGGACAAGAAGACTTTTCTGAAGCTTGGGATTTTTTGCAGTCTATGTTCGATCAGTATCAGGTCACGCAGGATGCAAGAACCAATAACGGAGAACCCGACACAGCAGCGACTCAGAGCTGGATCTCAGAAGATCCTGCTTTCGCTTCAGGCATTGACTTCAACTCAAGCTTTGCCTTCGCTCAAGGGAGCGATAGTCAAGCACTTACTTCTGGCCCTTCCGCAATTACACAAGCTGTGAGCGCTGTGGCTGCAAATTTCGAAGATATATTGAAAGGCTGCGTAGTTTAAACGGACTTTATCATGTTTTTTATAATCAAGCATTTTCTTATTGGTCACACATACCTGCAATCGTGTTTGTTGTTGTTCTCGCATTGGATGTCCAGCTTTTGATATGAATTGTTATTTGCTTTACTCGATGTATTGTAGTCTCCCCGCATAGCGACATGAAACATGAAACATGAAATTCAGTTTCGAACAAATAAACTCTTATGAACCTCATTCTCCTCCACTCGGTTCCATCGTTGAACTAAATCTACGACTTTCTTTTCCAAAAAGCGCATTGCCGTCGAATCCTTTCTCCATACATTTTCCACGAAGACGGACAAAGGCCCATTAGGTCCATTGTCGGGTTTGTTGAGTTCCGTCTTTTCGAACGTAGCTGAAGGTGCTCGCTTGCCGATTAGATTGTAAGGTCGAATGCGGTTTGCAAGGACGACATCGGTGAAGATTCGGTCGCCAACTATGACCAGGGCATTATCTGGTACTGGAGTTGGGAGTGAGGCGAAGTAAGCACGGATGGCACTGATACAGGCATATCCCGGCTTCAGCGTGTTGTGGCGTAAGACGGGAACGCCCAAATGAAAGGAAACAGACTCCGCCTAGTAATCTCATGAGTGACTCCAAACAATTGAAACGAAGGTCTTCCTCATCAAATATCTTACCTCAATCCCTCCAGGGTCTAGGTAGGTTCCGGCGGAATTACTGACGATGAGTATGTTCTCTGCTCCGAACACGTTTTTGCATTCCTCCCAAGCGACCTAGAAACCCGTATATGTTTGAACAATACGAACAATTGGGTGTCTTGGCACTGACATTGAGTTCTGGTACGAGCTTATCTTCGTACGGTAAAGTCTGATAACGGTGGAGGCTCAGAGTGACCCTATCTCCAAAAGAAAGGTGTACTTACCAGACAATTGTCCTTGTCAATTACTGCTCCACGATATCCGGCTCGGTGAAGGGCGCAAAAGTCGAGACATCGTAGGTCTTAACTTCAGACTTGAGCTCAGCTCTGAATGACACAACACAAGAATTCTTTGGGAAGTCATTATACCTTTTATTACTACTGAAGGGAGTACGAGGTATGGACGAAATAACAACTGAAATGGAGCAAGTAGACCGGGAACGTTGAGAGGCATGTCCCGAATTCTGCAGTAACAGACAAAGAATGACACATGCCTTTTTCTCCCTGATCGGCGTATTACCAAAATCAGACATAAGTATCACTGATTCGTACTTTCTCTTTAAGAATGTATTTTACTCATCGTAGATACAGTTGTCAGTAAGTATTACTACCATATCTTTAACATTCAAACGCCGACAAGAGGTTGTCTGAAATTACAAGTAAGAGATTTCATCATTTCACTTGCGTGTGCAATGTATAAGAAACCACGTTTCGACTGGCCAATGTTTTCGGGCTCCTGCTGGGATTCTTTAGAGTCGGGAGAGTCACATCGTTCACTGTGCTCACTTTGCTCACCTGTAGATGCAGGCGAGTTGTCGTCTGTAGACGCAGGATGTGAAAATACGATCCTAGGCCGAGAGCGTTTCGGAGAAATACTCCATTGAGCGCGTTTGGCGAGATCAGGGGGTACTTGGAACTCCCTGACCCGGATATCAGGATAGTCAACGTCCAAACTCTCTTTAGAGTCGCACGCGAGGCGAACAGCAATCCTGAAGTTTTCATCATCCTCCGCCAGAGAAACCGAGTAATCCATGTCACTCTTCACAAACATTCTCATCGCGAGTAAGAGGATATGGTGTATTTCATCCCGTGAACGGAGATGTTCGAACATGTCAACGGTCGATTTATCGCCAGTATAGAGAGCCAACCTTCCGGGTCTGCCGTCCAGGCTATTCCATGTCTTCCTTGCCTCGTGTATGGCGCATACTACGGCAAAACTATGGATAGCTGAGATGAAGAAATCTTGTGCCGGAATCGGAAACGCAAATTTATAATAAAAGGCTCGTCTTGTTGATGGAAACCACATTCCAAAGCCTTCGGTGGAAGCATGGAGAAAGACTGACTGCAAGGAGTTACCTACATCCCAGAAACACATCCTTGTTAGGTGGATACCCTTCGATCTTCGAAATAACTTCGCGAGCCAGTGTAGGTCCGAAGCAACACGTTTTGTGATGGTCACTTGCGCATCGCCATCGGACTGGTCAGCTTTTGCCATTTCTCTGTGTAACGCCGTTAACGCAGGGCGAAGTAAAGGATTGACTTCCAACGCCCAGTTGACGAGACCAGCGAGCTTTCGGCAGTCATGCAAAGAAGTCGTCACCATCAACCCATTAGAGAATTCAAATAAAGTTTTAACGATGCGTTCGAGACGCTCATCAGATACGGTGACGCGCATCCGCCTAAGGTTCACTTGATACCCGATGATAGTCAGAACCGGGTTAAACTCCTGTTTCCCTCGGGCATGAGGGATACCAAGACAGTCCCAAATCTTGAGTAGACGGGCTTGTTTCTCAGGAAGTCGCTTGCGGTACTTTTGGTAGTACACCATCCGACTCTCGTTATCGAGCTCCCAGGAGAAGTTGTCGTCGACATAGGAAAAGATGTCTGTCAAATGCCAAACGTTTTCGGCAATCCATAAAACGAGCGAATAAAACGCGCAGAAGAGACGCTGTGACGCTGCGTTGCCAAAGGAATTGCACCTGTCGATGTAGTACCTCCCGTTTATTTTTACCGCTTGCATCGCTTGCCAGTATGGTGACATGGGGAGGATGCGGAACGCATGTGATACATCAGATTTGAAAAGCGTGATTTTCGTCAAGTCTAATTGACGGTTGCGTAGAGCGGACACTAAGGCATCAATTCGGTCAACTTGAGCACCTCGTTCAACCACAGGAATGAGCGAGTTGAGTGAATGCTCTCCCGCGCTGTGGTCGTATATCAGCCGGAACTTCTTCCCATTCTGAGTCTGTGCGACATGTACCGGCATACATGCCATTCCTGGCAGAAGCTTCCTCCCAAACGAACGGGAGAACCTGTGAGAATTAACCTCTTCCTCAACGTGTTTCTTTAAGAAAGTCTGTTTCGGGCCACGGTAAGCTCTCTGCCGTTTTGACTCGTCCGGCAAGACACGCGGAATGTCGGCACAAGGCCAGAAACCTTCGCAAAGCCCATGTATAACAGATGAGACGAAAGCCCGATTTGGATGGTTGACAAGCAAGGCTTCAAAAATATCGACGTTTATAGGAGTTACAATCTTGAAGAGATCTGGACGGTTATTGACAAGTCGTACAAGATCAGGTGGAAGGTCACTTTCGGGTGGAGGTCGAGGAAGCGGCTCTGCATCAAGGGAGGCCTGTGCACAAGGTGAGTATGAGACGCCTTCAACCCACGTTGGCTCTCTTCTGCTATGACCAGGAGAGTTCTGCTTAGTCTCACTGGCACAGTAAGATGCAGAATGGCCTGCACGAAGGCAGGTACTGCACACGTGAGGATGTGGACAAGTAGACTCCGTTAGGCATCTGCTCTCGTTGAATTTCTCGCATGGAGGCGGTAACGTGGACGGGTCGCGGTCGTCACAAGAATATAGGACACTGATCCCGGCCCAGTCAATATTGACCTCTGGATCCTTTGCATACTCTTCAATCAAGGTCGGAGAAGGCGAATCTGCACGTTCGTCGTCAAGCATAGATGACTCCTTTCTAACTTAGAACCATTATGATGATGGCCAATAGAGTTACTTACATTTATGTGTAGGACAGACACAAAAGACGGAAGAGAATTGAGCCTTTGCTGTGATCAGTCGTTGGATTGCGGATAGCCAGGTGTTCGACTCGTAAAGCATGAGCTAAGAGTTTTATACAGCGGCTAAGTCGTTCAGGAGTTGTAGATATCCCGCAGCATAAGCAGATAGAAGCGCGGAAAGTCATTTCGCTATGGCCAGCGCTAGATGCTACGAGCCGAGTATAACGTACCAGCGTCCAGCTCGACCCCTATCTTGAGGAAGCCTTCTCACCCTAGATGTATCGAAAAGGTCAGCGAAAACAAGTTTAGGGTTATATGGCTCGTGGTATAGGGGAGCAATGAGTGCTCTGTGAGAGATACGAAGTTCTGAGCTTTGAAGCTGAGTCGTTACTGCCTTTTTCATAAGTATTGTCACACTTGATGATTCATCATTTTTTGTCACAAAAGTAAACAAAACAAAAAAATAACTATTTCTCACTCAATTCTGTACAGAATTCAGTGATTATTTGACATAAATTCATGTTTTTTAAATATTCTTCAAATAGACACTTTAATTATTAAATTTGAGCAAGATTTGACTGAGTTATAGTGAAAATACACTGTTTTTCATGTTTTCTTAATATTTGAATTTTCATTCCTTCAAAACTTAACATATAAGCTTGGAAAACAGTTTATTATAGTCACATACATTGGTACTTAATAAATATACCTAATTTACTGTGAATTATC